TATTGGATCAAAAGTGATAAGGGTTTTTCTTGACAATTAAAGAGTGTACGCTGTCGCTTCTGAGCCTTTTGGGCACACGGAGGTTGACCATTATTTTGAACAGGAGGATGTCATGTTGCCACGTCTTGTGAGGCGCGCAAACACTGTCTTTTTACTCGCTTGGGCTGGCAGTTTAGTTCTCCAAGCATTTAAAAGTATCTCAGTTTCAATTGTTACAAATGGCCTTATAAGCAAAATAAATGGTCATGTTTTGGTTTCAAATCTTTTTAAAAATTAGGTTTCATGGGTTTTGTTTGGAGGGGGTGCTTTTTTGGTTGCTTTTGATAAACGGCTTAGAAATAGCCTTCGTGGCCTTTTTGAAGATTGTTTGGAAAAAGTTTATTAAATTTCTTCCGTCTCTTTAACTGGTAGTTTTTGGGGTAAGTAGTCAAAAAAAGCGACCCTTAAAAAATGTATTATTTGAAATTGAGTAACAGTAGGCCTATATATTCTGCAAATCAATGGACGGATCATCAGCCCAAACTGACACCAGGTCGGACAATAATGAACGACTCTGGTTTGGGCAATTATACGTAGTCTGCCCGGTTAATTGTTCCTCGCCGCTGTAAAATGATTACTAATCATTGTAGGGTTTCGATTTTAAGATATTGAATACTCATTGAATAGCAAAGTTTGTCCAGTAGCCCAAAATGAAAAGAACAAAATTATAATCTCAAGTATATATAAATCTACCAATAAATAACTAAAGTGAGGAAGGAACATTTCTCGCAAGACGTAAGCATATCTTGGATATTGTGTCGTGGAAAAAAAGGCATCAGATATCCATGTAATGAACAATCAGAATCATTGTAGGGTTTCGATTTTAAGATATTGAATACTCACCCAGTCTTAGCAAAGTTTGTCCAGTAGCCCAACATCGATTCACTGAGCAAAGCAGACACACTCTCCGGATGGGACCACAAATAGGCTCCGAATACAAATCCGATCTCAAAACCATGTCCAGCACCGTCTATCAGGTCAGGTGGGAAGGTGTTATTGTCAACCTCCGAGAGGTATGTGAAGTAATACATGTAGGTGTTCGTGGAGTTGTATTTGTAAGACGGACGGGAGTGGTCACGTGCGGTCACGACAGCAGGTGCCAAGAAGATAGAATCACCAGAGAGATCAAGCACAACACGCAAATTTTGCCTCAGATCTTCGAGGCCTGAGCTAGCCGTGTATATAAACTTGGCAGTCTCTGTCAACTCCTGGTAGTTGCTACACTGATAGAGAGACTTCATTGCTTCACCTATCACCAAGGACATTCCAAATGAGTCAAGGATGGGAGGCAGGATTTCAGCGTATAGAGCGAGACTCCCTTCGTCGCTGTTTATCCCAACCATGAAGTCATACTGACTAGCGAGTCCTGAAGCGGATAGACGGTGGAGGTAGTCGGGGAAGAAGTCTCCGTCGACGATTGGATAGTAAGGAGATAACTGAACGATCGTAACTGGTAATTTAGCTGCAGCTGTTAGAATATCGTCGACTGATGCAGCACGCAGACAATCTATCAATTGCCTTGAGTCAGCCAACTCCTCACATTGCAAGAGACTACCCAGTTGTTTGGTCCGCATTGCTGCTTCTTGATGTGAATTTGTAAAAACCCGGTGAGCTGTTCCACTTTCTAAGACTACTCTTTGAAATAGACTTCTGTCGTTGAGAGGGGAAATCGCTTGCATCGCAGCACTTATTGCACCGGCAGACTCCCCGAAGATTGTTATCATATCCGGATCACCGTGAAAATTGCCGATATGTTCCTTGACCCATTGCATGGCCAGGCGTTGATCCCAGAGCCCGTAGTTTCCCTTGGCCGAGTTGTCTCCAGTGCTGAGAAATCCCAGAACGCCGAGACGGTAGTTGACAGTCACTACAACAACACGCCCAAGATCGGCTAGGATGGACCCATCATAGAACGCCCCAGCCCCGAAACTAAAGCCGCCACCATGAATCCAAATCATGACTGGGAATGAAACCTCTGATGAGGAGAAATTGACCTCGGGAACGAATATATTCAGAGTCAGACAGTCTTCGTCCCAATCTCCATTCATTGGATGCGGGCAATTGGGCCCATATGCCGTCGCGTTCAGCACGCCCTGCCATGGCTCTTTGGGTATGGGTTTAGCAAATCGCAGTGATCCTACCGGCGGCTCAGCATAACGTATCCCTTTGTAGGCCGTTACACTCCCGTTTAGAACAAAATAGGTCGTACCAAACAGAGATCCTTGTGTAGTGTTGATGATTTCGTTGGACCAACCTTCTGTCTGACAAGAGCCTAACTTGTGAAAGAATAAAACAGGATACATTTTACCAGAACGAAGGCAAAGCCGACTCTAGCCCCCTCCATAGTGGCTGACTGTTCATCGACGATTGCTCAGGTTAGTCTGAGAGCGTTATAGACAGCCTATAGCGTAAATACCCAACCTATACAAATACCAATAACTTATACAAATATTAAGTTCTTTTAATGCTGCAATAAGTGAGTTTCAGTGACCAAAGTCCTTTTTTTATTACACAAATCGAATGGTTTGCATATCAATATGTACGTGCAATCAACTGGAAGGTCGGAATCTAATGAAAGACCAGAAATATTTACAAACTTAGTACTCAATAGACAATAGGATCCTGTGGATACTGATTTGATTAAATCTAAAATTAAACTGATCTTTAATGTAATATTGGTCCGCCGTCACAGTTCAGTCGGCGTCTTGATAATTACTTTCGTAACTTTCAAATTTACCGTGGAAGATTGAAATGACTCTCTTCTACAGGAAGGGTTATAATTTTGATAAATTCGTTGTCATGTATCTAGCAACGGAAATCAAAGAAACGACATAAGTCATAAAAGTATTGGCTTTAGGTGTTTGCATAAGGGTTTGATAATCAAGAACGATGTATGTACTCCTCTGCTGTGTAAAACAAAATTCAAAACTATTTCACTGCAAGTCGCTTTAACATGTTTAAGATCAATTTGATCATTAAATCCCTCATGGGGGCGGGGGATATAATCCTCCGGGGATGATCCCTGTTGCATCATCGTGGATCATTCTTTAGAACTAAGAAAACTTCAGCCAAGTTTTAGATTTTGAAATACTACATTAAATTATCCTTGTTGGCGGATCCACTTTGCTGCAGTTTTGTGGGGGAAACGATTCAAATTTTACGCTTTTACCGTGCCAAATCGCATCGGACATAGACAATAGTCGTTTCTATCCCTTACGGATTTGGACGCTTGACGCATGCAGTACGGAAGACACCCGTCTGAGGTGGCCGCTAATGGTTTTGTCGGCCTCGTGAGAATTGTCAATTAACAGTCAAATTTTACAATAAGAAAAAAATATGTTTTTTGTTTTTTTTTGATAAAATGACTGGAATTTTAACGTGTTTGATTTGGATGGTATCTATACCACAAATCAGTTGTACCTCCATGAACCTTGTACTATGTACGCACATTCTGATAATGGAGTGCATTGTTCCACTTTTCCGGCACTGTCAGGATCACGAGTGCGTGTTTCGGTGTAACAAAGTTGTCAGTAAAAAGTTGGCGCAGAAAAAAAAACTAATCGTAGTCTGCATTAACAGGGGTGCTTGCCGAGATGCACGCCGGTGTATACAGACGAGTGTCAGCAAGTCAATGACATAATTAATAGGCCTACATGTCGGTGAAGCGCGCTATTTGTCTTTCATTGTTGATGACACATTGTGATTAGTCTTGCACTAATGCGTCATTCTAATTGCGCCAATCAATCTGCTATACATCGGATGAGAGGACTTAACCAGTTCATGTAGCGCAGTCTAGTACGACCGGTCACGTCAGACTGAAACCCGAAAACAACTCTAATATAAGGTGAATTAACACGTGAATTATCGGACATCAGGTGTACACTGCGAGCGGGATTTTACAACAAAAAAAGTTCAAAAGACGAATACACGGAGAAATGAATTAAAAACAATAAAGGAATTCATAAATGAACGAATAAATAAATAAAAAGGGGAATTAAATATGATATGACAATCGTAACGTTGAGATTTAGTATTTCTTGTACAGTTTTTTTTGGGGGGGGGGGACCGGGCAAGCAATCGAAAAGGACTCTAGCGGCGATTACTTAAAAAGTCTACAAATTTCCTGAAGTTGTTCAAATATGAAGAACAGCTTCAGGTTTTCACTTTTTTGCCTTGAAAAACAAATAGCATTTATTTGTATTACTAAATATGAATAAATCATTTCCTATGTATAACCCGTTGCTCATAACGTAAATAGAATGATTATGATCCCCTTCAATTTTCAAGTTTTGACGTTATAATAATAATTCATTATTTTAAAAATGCTTTACATTATATTACAAGCACTATTCACTAAAAAAAAATGCATAATTTGTTTTAAAAAGAAATTAACAAACTTATTAATAATTGGATTAATCAAATTAATAACATTAATTAAGTTCAACAATTAATCAACAAATATATTGTTTACTTTGAAAAAAAAATCCTGTTGAGCCATAAACAATAATAAACATGATGCATAGTGCATAAGGGTGCAAAAAGAATTAATTGATATATTCTATATTAGAGAGTTCTGAAAGCCATGAATTGGGGAATTGAAGAGATAAGGCCCTGACTTGGGGCTTCCAATTCTGAGCATTTTGGATACAATAGGGCTCGAAAGTGGTGCTATGTGGCAATGTTGTGGAGGGATTGTTTTTAAAGATGGCTACTACTTTTCCGCTTTGGGGAAATATATACATGTACTTGTACATGTACCCCCCCCCCCCCCCCCCCCCCAATGAGTTTATTGACTTTGCATAACTAAGTTGTCACGTCGAGTGCATGGGGGAAATCTTGTTTTTACCTATCTGCCGTTCGAGGCGCCCTTCCCCATCGTGATCTTTGAGCAAGTACTTCATCATTATTTATGTTTCACTTTTTAAGAGGACTGTCCTATGTTCCCCTCCCTAGCTGTACGGCTAATTAACCCGCGGTTTGCCTGCCGCCGCGCGACGGATCGGAGTGCATGAAAACCGTGTCATCAGTTGCTGCGTGATTCGTTAAATTATTCTTTTTCAGATTCAGACATTTCCAAAATGTCTGCAGTTTGTGGAAGGTGCAGAGAGGAAGAAGCTGTCCTTGAGTGTGCTGACTGTGTTGGCAGTAAGCATCGTGGTAAGTTCACATTCTCTAATCTGAATCCGAAACCACGAAATAAACATGCCATGCTAACCCATGCATCAAATGCATACTGTCCCACGTGGCCGTGGGTACAATTTCAGTGAATTCACAAACATGACAAATCGTCACCGACACCACGAACTGACACCCTCTGCATCACATGTGTACAAAATATTTTACAAATTCAAATTTTCTTCTTTTTTTTCGATATTAGCAGTTTGTATCATGAAGTTTAACATGACGAAGTTAAAATTGCTGAAATCATCTAAAATAAGCAAATTTTACTAATGAATTTTCAAGAAATTGGTCAATTCTGTTTTTTTTTGTTACCACGAAGTGACACTGCACAGGGTGTCAGTTCGTGAAAACAAAAATGTATGTGATTCTGGAGAGTGCCATATGCAATAGCGTTAGGGAGTGTCAGTTCGTGAAAACGAAAATGTGCGTGTTTTTGGAGAGTGCGCGCACGCATGCGCAGTGTGCGCGCACTCTCCCAAAACACGTCAATTTTTGTTTTCACGAACTGACACTCACTAACGCTATTGCATGCGTGCACTCTCCAAAAACACATAAATTTCCGTTTTCACGAACTGACACCCGTCTTAATCATTTAATTGCTAATTAACTAAGCATATTTTCACAATATAACGTTTATAATTGAGTAGTTAAAGCATTTTCACGTTAAGTGATACTAAAACCTCTAAGATAGATGGATTATTTTACTGAGTAAATTCGTGTCAAACCTTTAAAAGCGTTTTTCTCCGATTTGTACTTCTGCAACGCTGACCACCGGGTGTCAGTTCGTGGTGTCGGTGACGAAATGTCAACCCGCCAATCATGCCCGCATTTATATTTGCGGACCAACAACCTTAACCAGCAGCATAGTCGGACTCCATATCATCGCGGCATCCCTATTATTACGGCAAAGGAAATTTCCCTTTTTTGCGTTGCCAAAACTCCTTCAACTCAGTTCAAGTGGGGGGTTAGAAGCGACGTAGCTAGGGAAGGGGGTGGGGCGGCTTGGGGGTATGCCCCTCAAACACTGGAAATTTGCTAGTCCTTTTTCACAAGTGGCCTTTTTTAATGAGTGCCCTTTTTTAGCGTTGTGCGAACGTCGTTAATTGTGCTGCCATAAAAAAAAATGCCTTCGATTTTCCAAAAGTGTCCACTTTGACATGTTTGTGGGGCGTCCCCGTAGAAAGATTTTGTCCAGCTGTTTCCCCTCCCCCCTCCTCCACCTTTTTTATTTTATGGAAGCCGGGTTATCGATGGAAAAACCCTGTCTACCTTTCATCACGGATGCTACAGAAATTGGCCATCGGCAACCCCCCCCCCCCCCCCCCCCCCGAGGAGAATGCAGACTATGCCACTGGGGGGGGGGGGGTGGTTTGCAGGCTTAATGTACTGCATTGGAAAATCTCATAAAGACCCCAAATCAGCATATATGGATATGTCTGAATTTCTTTTAAATTGGGGAATATAATTGTTTTTGTCAATTAAAAAGAAATGTGAAAGTAAAAGGTTAGGAAATAATTTCACCATTTATTGCTATATCTATATGTCCCTTCATGTAGGTGAATTGATACCACTATGTGATGCCTGTACTGCATTAATCCATGTGGGATTTCTTAGTGATCACCAAGTCATCTCTGTAACAATCAAGGTATGTAATTTGCTCCTTGCGTGCATGTATTATGTATTTCTGTGTTTGAGGAAATATAGTAGCATTGCTAACATTGGTTCATCAAAAGCCATTTCTTTTGTGAACCAAACTTTGAAGAAAAAGAAACAGCAATCACTCTGTGCATTTATTTCACCTCACTTTCAACTTAAGATATTTTTTTCTTGCAGCAACAGAAAATTCAGTTTGAGGAGCTGCTGAAGAATTTTAAGAGGTAAACTGCATTTGTTTAATTTTAAAAAAAAAATTAAACTGTAAAAAGAACAAACAAAGATAGGCCTATGATGTCGGTATACACATTTTTGCTGAATACTTTTGGTTTCTTAAAGAAGGATTATTTTACCACAAAGTTATGCTTTAAATTACTACTCATGTCCCAAATTTATCAAGAACATGCGATATAGCCTTGGTACCAGATGAACGCTTTTCTAGAAAAATGCACGACATATATTAAAGGTATAGTCCATCATTTGTAATTTGTTCATTTTGTTCGTTTGAAGCAACAAAAGTGCTCAAAATCTAATGAAGGATACTGAACAACTAACCTGATGAAGTTTCAGCTCAGCTTCAGCTGTATATTCCGAGAAAAACAGCATTTTAGGATCTCAATTTCAAATCAAAAGTTGCTGAATCATGTTTTGAATTGTTTTGAATTGCAGTTATACGCGATGTCGCGCACTGATCTGACGAATTATAGCAACCGCGCGCGCATGTGCGTCATGCCAATGCTTGCGCATGCTGCGCCGAATAACAAAACGAACTACAGTGTACTAATTTAAATTTTCCTACGGAAGACGCAACGTTGGAAAGGCCTTCTTTTGTTGATTACTTCAACATGATAGCTTGCCAGAAAGATTAATTTCACAGGGAGTTTAGTCCACTTACTATCTTTCAACCAAGTATGTTTTTCAACAATAATACGCCAGTTACTTTTTCGGATGGCTGCAAATCATGGACTATAGCTTTAATAACCCTCCTATACATTCTGTGCCAAGTTGTCCTTTCAATGGGTAAGAGCTCCCAGCCTACATAAAGCTTGATTGACTGGCTGTGACTGTTTATGTAACTTGATACAGAGGTGCTTTGACTGTAGGTGATTGATAAGACAGTGCCACCAGATTCCTGCTTTTGTCTGTTGACTGAATTTGACTAGTGAGAGTGCTTGGTTGAATATGATCTGGCTGTCTGTGACTAGCCTGTGTAAAAGGCATGACAGGGGAAGTGGATGGAATTTTTGACAGTCTGTGACTGTTTAAACAGTAGGATAAGGTAGAATAACAGTATATCATGCATTCGTGCAACATACATTGAGTAGCATTAATTTGATTTCTCCTTACATTTCTCTTCATCTTATGGTCCAGCCATGGGAAACACTTGCAGTTGAAATTGAATGAGGTGCATTACGCGAGACAGGATATTGAACAGAGGTAAGTCAAGTCTGAAATGGTGTTAATAACCCTACCCTCCAGATCCAGGGTATTTTGGCTAGAAACCCTGCCAAACGCAGCAACATGCAACACTTGTCTAAATGACGAGCCTGCCGAGAGCAGCAAGATCCATCAGGCCTGAAGTCTCCAAGGCCAAACTGCCTCAGAGTCTGTGGTCACCCAATGCAGCAGGATTCAACTGTGGCATTGTTAAATGGGATTAGCTCTCATTGTTTCAGAATTGGCCGTGTATGTACTGGTGTTCGTTCATAGCTAAATGCATCAAAGTGCACCAGACTTTTCCACCTAATGCACTGTGTTGCATCTGGCAGGGTTAGGGATAAAGACCCCGGATGTGCGCACTGTGGAATGTCTCCAAATAATGGTTAACTATTGGTCCCTGTACTACCAGCAAGTGGTCACTCAGGCTATTCTGCACCCGATTTCATCAAACTCTTCGTAACTTACGATGCATCGCAGCGCTGCGACGCGTCGTATCCCTACGATGCGTCGCAGCTGCGACCATTTCATAAAACACGTCGTAAGTGCGACACGTCGTAGGTGTATTTATAGCACAACTCGGTGACTGTTTTATGTATTTAGTCAGCGTACAGTAAATAGTCGTCTGATATTCAACAAAGAGTCGTCGGATCTCAGCTCGAAATGTGTTAAAAACGTAAAACAAAATGGCGGTCGTGCGATGCAATTTTGAAGAAAAAAAGCTCTCAGTAGACTGCATAGCTACTTTGAAATTTCAACTACAATATTCCAGTCTAATTCATAATTATTCAATGAATTTTCTATTTACAACTTTACACACATTGCCTCGGCATTATAATCTTGTTTATGTAATTTTTATGGCATTAAACAGGCTAAGAAAGGGACTCTTGCGATGACCACTAGATCGGGTGCAGGTCCTGAAACTCTCAAGTGGCCTTGTGTAATGCTTTCCCTCGTATAATGCCTCCCCTCGTATAATGCCTCATATGAAATGTCTTTGTGGGATGTCTCTAGGTCCCAGTACAACCATCAAGTGGTCACGCATGCCTTTCAGGCAGTGTGGCAGACCCTGAAACAGAAGGAGAAAGAAGTGACGGCTCCGCTGAAGGAGTCTAGCAAGAAGGAGGCTGCACTGCTGGCAGAATGCGAGAAGAGTGTCGGCCAGGCCACTTCAGAGTTCAAAAATGTGAGTTGGTATCACTGCTGTACTATAAAACGCAAAGGGTGCGTATGTGTGCTCTAACCTTCCATACTCTTTGTGGACCAGAGAACAAAAGAGGTCTACAGGGTGCAGGAAGTGTGAACGTTTTGTGGATTTGCACGCGTCCACACAAGGTTTCCCCTTCTCTGGAAATTAAAACAGCTTTAGAGGCATTTTTGGTTTAGGTTTGTCTGTCGCAAAAGGAAGAGGAACACTCAAGGAAACCCTGATAAAAAAAAAATGGGTTGAAAGTGTGTTCACACAGTGCGAGTAAAATGATTTTTTTCCTCCGTTTTTTCTTAACCACATGAATACAGAGGAATGTCCACAGTAGGTATGGAAGGTAAACGTTTGTTTATGGTGTGAATCGAGGACACACACGTGCAACATCATCGATGAATTGAGGACAGGAACCAAATTGAGGCCAACCTTGATTAGAAAATGTGTACAAAACCAATGAGAGCTGTTGCAAAAAAGTTGAGAGTACAAACAAAGGAAAAGGAAAGAGGAACAAAAGAAAATCCTTGATTTACACAAATGTCGGGACCATTGTTTTAGTTCTGAATGTAGCACTTTCAATAGTTAGGATATGAAAGCCCAATTAATAAGCTTTCTTTAAGTGCAAGAATCATTCAAATCACTCATGTACTTCTCAAGTTACGGACTTTAAATACAACCACCGTTTCAAGGTTCTGTCTGTTTGAAAAGATTTAAACATTTCTTTCAGCAAAACGAAAACAAATCACATAGGGATGTGTGTGAATTGTTTTCGGTTTGCTGACAGAACGCACACCTTTTGTGTGATCCGTGGACAGAACTTTAAAACGGTTGTTGTGTTTAAAACTCTGTAACTTCAAAAGTACATAAGTGATTTGAATGATTCTTGTACTAAAAGAAGGCTTATGAATTGGGCTTTCATATCCTAGATTTTGAAAGTGCTACATGCAGAACCTTACTAAAACAATAGTCCTAACATTTGGGTTTCGTGTTTTTTGACTCACCCTGTGTACTAATCTTCGTCCTGTAGGCACTATGCCACAATGGGAACCGTTTGATAAGACTGTCTGTTTGTTTTTGTTCCATATTTTTCCTGTCCAGTCTTATCCCTGTATATGTTTGATAATGTTCTTTGTGTTATCATTTTTCTGCTTCCAGTTGTGCACTGAGGCCCAAAAGCTTCTCCAAGGGAACTCACTTGACTTTGCTCGGCAGTATGACGGGATGAAACAGAAGGTGAGTCCAGGGCATTTTTGTTGTCTGAACGGGAATAAAAACAAATCTTTTATGTCTGCTATTTCACCTCATTATCACATTTTGCAAAGAAGTCAGTCTGGCCTACAGCCTGTTACAGCGTTAGTAGTTTTTATTTGGAATATAAACCATTGATTTTTTCTTTTTAAAGTCAAATTTTAATAATTCCATCTTATAATAGTTTATGCGGTACCCGCTGCTATGTACATCAGATTCGAACCGGCCAACTGATCCCGTTAGCTCGGTGGTCGAGTGGTAAGACATCTGCACTAGAAAGCAGGAGGTCGTAAGTTCGAGTCCCACCCGAGTGATTTTTCCAACTTTCACTCGGGAGGTAATACACTGAGTATACAGTGTTTAAACATCAGTGAAGGGCAAAACCTAATTTGATTTATATCGCCCCGGCGCAAAAATTCCATCTTATAATAATAATTTCTTTGTCGGTGCTTGGTAGAGCATGGTACAGAGCATTTATGGGTATATTGTGCAATTTAAACCAAAAAAACTAATGACTTTTGTTTCTTTTTTATGTAATTCTCATTTTAGTGAGAAAACAAAAATCCTGTTTTTTTTCAATGTAGACTTGCAAAAACTGTTGTTGGTAATAAATTGTGAAATAATGATGCGTTTATTTCACAGCTGGAAGAATTTAAGATAGATGGAGTTGGCAATTCATTCCCAAGCCTGGGTTTCCCAGCCCGCCTGGATGTGACAGGTCTCCTGCAGAACATCAAGGAACTCTCTCTCCAGTCACAGGACACAGATGGAACCCCCACGGTTGACGCTTCCTCTAACGAGGATGAATGTGAGAGAAAGAAGACCCTGGAAGTCCAGTCACCCAAGGAAGGTACAGTTTATGGGTAGGCCCTCTTAGGGTCTGATGGCCAGGAACGATAGAGAGAATTATATAACTGACATACAGATCCTTGTCATTAGATTAGTGGAACTCGCATCACGTGACATTCATTATTGCTCCCATTCACGCCGGGGCTCAAAAAGTCCCATTCGCCCATGGGGAATGGGAAACACTATTGAACAGTTAGGATCATTCTTGTTCCATGACGCGGTATTTGTGTGCAAATGCACGCTGGAGTGCGCGTTCAGCATTGCGTTCCAAAGAGCCAGCGCTACAGAGTCGGGCTCAAACATTTTCGTGAAGGGGTCATTTGGAAGAGAGAAATACGTTTTCCACCAATTTTGTATTGAAATAAAAGTTCAAATATATCAAATGACAAGGATCTATATGTCAGTTATATAAAACAAAATATAGAGTGGCTTTAAATTGTGAAATGGGAGGAATATTATCGCTCGGTAAAATCTGGACTTTGCCTCGTGAAATGGAAAAGTCCAGAGTTTACCTTGCGATAATATTCCTCCCATTTCACTCTGAGCCACTCAATATTTGTATAATGTTGGGAGTTGAATCCATCACAAGTCCATCACAAGTCCATCACAAGTCCATCACAAGTCCATCGCAAGTTTTCCAGAGTTAAGCCAAGTCACAAGCTATTCATTTAATACAAGGCATTCAGTTGACAAAAGGCATCCCTTTGTTTTTCTTTATCCCCTGTTACTTGCGACCAAACAGGTGAATTGACTTGCGGCCAGATTTGTGATGAACGTACCTTAAACATGGGAGGAGAGCAGGTGAGGGGAGTTGAGTGAGGACACACAGCCAGCATAGGGTTTGGCAACCCCATAACCAAACTGAAAGGAATTGATTTCAAATCTAAACGTGGGAATTATAACACCTCTTTTTTTTAGGAATCCACTTCTTGTCATAGTGGATTGGAAAATGATGTCTTAGGAAACAATCTCATCTCAAAATGAGCTTTACCCTTCCCTTTCCAGATACTTGCAGAAATGGGGATGGTGGAGCCCAGAAATCACCAAGTTTTGGAAGGCTCGCTATCCCTTGAAGCCAAGTACGAAATCAAATTGTTTCTCACACAGTGAATGATTTGTGATGAGTCAGATATGTTTCTTCATAAACATCACCCTGGCGCAAATTCCATCTCATAAGATACATTGTATGTTTCTACCGAAGCCTCCCAGAGGATTAGGCTTAATCCTAACCATCTGGGATCCCTCAAAGTCCACCAAAAGGTGCAGTGGGAATTTTCTCGACCCATGGCCCTATTAAGTTCAAGTGCAAAGAATGTGTCTTTGAGCTATAACCAAATTGAAGATTTTGGGAGATAACAGGGGTAGTTGTTGTTATTAAACAAAACACTCAAGGAGTTAGAATCTATCATCAATAAACATTCTGTGGGCTGAGTGCGCGAACATGGACGGGACGGGACACACCGCATATAAAGAGAAGTACGCAGGACTAATTTCACTCTGAACGTACACAAAACCAAAGCATATTCGCGTGAGTGTCGGGCGCCGTCGGCTAAGTGGTCTCACCCAACTCTCCCTCCCTTGCCATTAAGAGGATACTTGTGCACGGAGCCCACAGTGTTGTTATGTTTCTTTCTCTCTCAATATTTGTCAGGTGACGCCCTGCAGGTGTACGTAGAGAGCCGCCTGGACACCAAAGGTCATTTCTGGGTCAGCAGAAACCTGAGCCAGGACATAGCCAACCTCTATGAAAACCTTAGCTTCAGAATAAGGTCAGTGTTCCGTTCATTCTGATGGGGATTTTTTTGGTTCAGGGATACAGTGGAATTAAGCATGTCTTCTGAATCTCTTCTAAGAAAATGCTGTGTATTTAGAGTGTTAAACTTAAAGACAATGAAAACAATAATATAAGAAAAGTCTGGCGCCTGAAATGACTATCCCAGTGCCTACAAAAGCACCTGGTACCCAGGCTCTTTTTCCAATCTCTAGTTCCTCCACATGGAAGGGTTCATCTTTTTAAAGTTGGACTTTTTTTGGTCCAAATGGGCCAGACTTGTTACTTCAAATTTAAATAACTTGATAACATTATGGAAAAAGGCTGCGGAAAAAATCTGATTTGAATGTTTAAATCAGACCTAAAACTTTGCAGTTGAAATGCTCAGGCCCATATCTTGACATGTTGAATATTTGGAGAACGGTTTGGCCTTCTGCTGCGTCTTCGTTTGCAGTTATGACCTCAATATGGGTAGTCAATGCAGACTAAAGTGATCAACTTTGTTCAGGCTGTTCCATTGGCCTTATTATTGCATTCAGATACTCACTCCTTTGAAAGTTAACTGTGTTGTTTGTGTTTTCAAAAATACATTTATCTATCGATTTCCTTTCTGTGTTGTGCAAGTAAAACACTAAAATGTTTTGAGAAAAATGTCTAAGTGTTTGCCCACTGCAGGGCTTTCGGGTACATTAGTGTTAACACTGTCCTGGTATTTTCAAATATCTCTCCCATCTGTTAGGCAAGACATTGTGCAGAGTCCCCCAGCTCAGTTGGAGATAGAAGAAGGGATGCTGTGCTGTGGGCAGTTCCAGGAGGACCATCGCTGGTACCGCGGTAGAGTCGAGCAGCTTAAGAAAGATAAGGTCAGTCCGGCCAGAAACTGGCAAACCCAAATTTAACCCTAACTCCCTACTGTCTTTTACTAAGTACTGGACCGAGTCTGCCAAAATGTATCATCACACTGCTTCCAATGCATGCTTTGCTTTGCTTTAAGTCCATCATATTCAGGCCTGCAGGACCAAGTTCCCTCAAAATCCACCAAAATGGGGTAATGGATTTTGATGGAGTTGGGGAGGTTTGGTTTAACAACCTTTACTCTTTCACTTTTGCATTACAATATTAATCACATCTGGCTGACCGACTTTCACAATGTTGCTAAGCACAGGATTTTCTGTCCACAGTGTCTCCATTCATTTCATGACAACCATACGCAGTAAGCACACTCACCTGGTGGAAATTTGGAAGTGGTGATACGAGGCTTCGCCTAGCCTGCTTCACAGTGGGAGGCTGCTTGTCGCCTGTCAATCGCTTCGCGGTCAATTGGGCAATCAACTTGAACACACACATGCACAATTTGTGCTTAAAGTATAGCGGTGTTCACTCACAAAATTAGCACATCCACGATAAGGAATTTGCTTACAAGTAGCAAAAATGTTCAGCTGTTGTCAGCACAATTCGTCAGGCTAACCATTGGCCCTAAGTAGGGTGTTCGTTTGTCATCAAATACCCGTCACCACCTGATAATAGTGACTATGTCAAATTGAGTTGCCAACATAATTTTGTTGCAGGAAATGCAGTCCTAATGACCATTCCGTTTTGAAGCCTTGTATATTGCATCACTTTTTGGTTGGTTGTGTTTTTCACCACACAATTACCGACAAGTTTGTTTTTGTGCCCAATTAGGGATTGGCCCGCATCAGATGGCTAGACTACGCTCATGATAATGAGGTGCCATTGGCTACCGTGCAACCCTTGAAGGAGGAATTTCAGACTCTGCCATTTCAGGTGAGACAGAGTGGCTCATTTCATACCGAATATGGTATTAACTGAGTCACATCTTTTATACCAGGAACATTCATGATGCGACTTCATTGGCATGTTGTGACATGGAATAACTAAAACGTTGGTTAAATTCCTTGTAACGATAACTTCCCGTGTAACTTCTTTAATAATTATCATATGTGATGCGATCGAGCTAAATGAGTCGTTTGTCTGGAATTTTTATGTGGAGATACAGGCCAAAATAGGACCACTTCATCACATCTCTTGGTGTTCCAACTTCCATAATTTTTGAACTAAAGATGGTATCAGCATGCGGTTTTCACAGCAGTAATGCTGAGATTGTGCTCTTTTGAAATCTGTAATAAAATTTTTTTGACCAGGGTCGACAAACGACTCATGTAGCTTGATCGCATCGCATAAAGCAGTAACTGTAAAATGATTTTATTGTATGAGCTCCGTGCGAAAACAAGAGAGGGCTCTTTTTCACCACTTTCGAGAGACCCATGGACAGGACACATCGTGTGTGCATACTTGAATGTGTGGGGTAAAGCGTGAAATTAATGCACATCTGATTTTATTCTGAAAGTGCACAAAGCCACAGCATCTTCGTGTGAATATCAGGCGTTGTCGGCATTGCGTTCAAATGTCTCTCCTAGTGGTCACCCCCAACTCTCCCTTTCTTACCGTTGAGAGGGTGCTTGTGCATGGAGCCCATATAATCCATTAAATGCCCCCATATCCTACGAAATCTATATTGAGGTATGTTAGGATGTAGTGGGATTGAGGAAGATAGAGCCTTGGGCTTGGTGCTGAAAGGTTCAGGTGCAAAGACTGTGCCAATCCGTTTCCTGCATATCGGTGGAACTTTGCAGATTTAGGAAGGTAGTTAATGAAAAATGCCTCCAGATTTTGTGTGGTTAAGTTTAGTCACTAAATTGTAATGCCTACTTTTATAATGAATTTTTCACTAGCACATTAGCCATAAATCTTATAAGGAAAGTAGGAAATGATATTTCAATTTCTCCTGATTCTCTGCTTTTGTTTTTTCGTCATTACCAGGCTCTTGAGTGCAGTTTGTTTGAGGCTCTGGATGAGGACCTACCCCATCAAGCGCGCTGGGAGTTCTCAGACCACACCGCCAATGCCCTACTTGACTGCACCATCCTTAAACAGGTAAAACGGTACAGCAATTTCGCCTACACGTATGTACTGGAAAAAGAGTACCCAAAGAAGCAGTGGTCTCACCAGCCATAACCAGGGCAGTTTTGTACATGTAGTTGCGGTAGTTGTGATAGGTCAAATTGGTCAAAATAGAATACCCTTGGGCTGTACTTCAATATAGGGTCATTCCATTCCAATCACCCAAAAATATTGGAAGTTTAAACTCTAGCCTCTTCAAATTCTTTCATATTTAGTGTATGAGGAATTGAGGCTGAAAAAAAAACACTGAAATTTTGAGTTTTTACGCCATCGGACCAATCGTTTTCATGCCACCACCGCCATTTTTGGCGATTTTGGACAAAAATAATGGGCACGGCCACCAATTTTCAAATGAACATATCTCCATAAACTGTGGACCAAATTTGTTGATAATGGATTCTTTAGAAAGGTAACGTCATATGGAATCCAAATTTACCACTTTTTTTTTAAGTTGGAGCAATTTGAAATATGATGACCTTTGGACCTTTACTTTTGACCTTGTGGATCACGTGACCTTGAAATGAACTTGGATGAAAATTGTTATGGCTGGTAATCCATCACCATTACCTTGACTGCAACACCACCTAAAGAGTTGTGTGTCTCCCATAAAAAAAAAATAAGATTCCCCGATTCTGAAAAATATGGCGCACTTACATAGGAAAACTAAGTGCCACATGGAATATAACAATCGTCAAAACACTTCCCCCACCTGTACAGAAAAGTACCCTTCACTCTTTAGTTTGTTTAAAGCAAAACATTTCAAATGTCCTCCTCCCTGAATGATAATCATGGTGACACCCCTGCCAAGAAGTCTCAATAAATAGCATAAGGTGTTTTTCCCACATTTAAAGAAAACTGGCTTTGTGAACTCTCTGCAGTCTTGTATTTTCTGTTGCATGTTTTTGGAATTATAATTTACATTTTTTTGGTTGCTTTTGGGTCAATCAGATGTCACCACCTTCATCAGATAATAAATGTCAAGTGTACCTGGTGGAACTGACAAACCCTGACAAAGAAGTCAACATCAAAGAGGCTGTCATGGCAAAAGGTACATTCAACAAAAATCAATTTCATAATAAGGAATTTTGCGTCGGGGTGATGTAAATCAAATTAGGTTTTGCCCTTCACCGACGTATAAACACTGTATACTCAGTGTGTTACCTCCCGAGTGAAATTTGGAAAAAATCAGTCGTGTGGGACTCGAACCCACCACCTACTGCTTTCTAGTGCAGACGTCTTACCACTCGACCACCGAGCTAACGGGATCTGTTGGCTGCTTCGAATCTGATGTACATAGCAGCGGGTACCGCATTAACTATTCATAGTATGGAATTTTACGTCGGGGTGATGTGAATCAAATTAGGTTTTGCCCTTCACCGATGTATAAACACTGTATACTCGGTGTGTTACCTCCCGAGTGAAAGTTTGAAAAAAATCACTCGTGTGGGACTTGAACCTACCACCGCCTGCTTTCTAGTGCACAGGCGGACATTAGACCAGTATAATTTTTTGGGGGTGTCACAGCAGGGGGGGGGGGGGGGGGGGTTCCACTTATTTTTTAGGAATTTGTATGAGATTTTTTTTTTTTGGACAGAGCTGGGGGGGGGGGGTTTGCCCCCAAAAACCCCCCTCTGGATCCGCGCCTGCTGGTTCGAATCTGATGTACATAGCAGCGGGTACCGCATTAGCTATTCATCATATGGAATTTTGCATCGGGGTGATGTAAATCAAATTTGAGTAAAAATCAATTGACATTGTATCTCCAGTTTCCCAATATCCAACACCTAGTTTTCAGGTTTGTTACTTGGAGCTTGATGTCTCCAGTCTTGAATTGTGACTATTGGATTAGGGTAAAGTGTAGCATTTTTGGAGATTGTGGGGACATAGTCAGGTCCGTCACTAGTCCATCACAAGTAAATCACAAGTCCATTCAAGAGTCAAGTCACAATGCACTTGTCAAAGCTGATTTGAAAAGCCTGTGAGGTGAATTGGGACTGCGAGACTTGCAGGGACTTGTTGGGACTTGTGATTACCTGTATTCCTTGAAGATTGAAGAAGCTTATAGGCTGAAATGCCCAGGTAGTAAAGGCCAGAGTGTTTAGCTTTGGACAAAGGAAGTATTTTGTCATCTTCTGTCATTTTCAAGACAGTTTCCAGATTTGCAGGAGCTATAAAGAAAAAGTGTTGGCTATTTTGTAAAAATTGATATCGTAGGATTGTTTCATGAAGCAACTTGTCTTAGGTGTTTCCAAGCCGTGGACTTTTTTTTGTAGGATTCAAACTCACTTTGCCATGTTCGATTGCTGACAGATACTTTATAAGCCTAACTTGATACATTTGCTTTTATATTTATCTTGTTTGTATAGGATTTCATTGTTATAGATACTTACGAAAATCTTTACTTTTGTCCAACAGCTGAAGAGGCGACTGCTAAAAAGGTTCGTTGTTCTGTCTTTATAATGTTCAAATGAGTGTTTGGGTTAACACATGTGAGAAAACTAGTCAAAGATTTTAGACGATGAATTTATTTGATGTACTTATAAAAACGTTTCTTTGTAGTGAATCTAAGGTTTCAGTAAAAGTTACAGGCACTGCAGCTCACAAGCTTGGACATTCCCAAAGAGAAATTTTCATAATGCGGCACTTTTCAGTTTAAGTCCATGGAGAAAAACCCTGATACGCCTTAAAGAAAAACCCACAGACTTGGGCTGTGAACCCATAATCGGAACCCTGGTCACAAAGGTGGAAGGCAAATCAATAATGTACCTCTGTGTCAACCTGACATCCCTTTTGTACAAGGAGGTATACACATTTGACGAGAATGTTTAGTTAGGAGATAGAACGAACAAAATTATTTTTCATATTTTATCTTGTGGACACTGCATGCACAGAAGCAATTTTACCACTTTTCAGAACCCCACTTGTAGGGACACAATAACAACACAACCATTTCGAGGGCATAAATTGCGAAGCACGCAATACTGATTTTATTCTGAGTGTGTACAAACCACTTGCGTCTTTGCGTGAGCGTCAGGGGCGGAAGGTGGTGCGTTCCAACGTCTGTTCCAGCGGTCTCCCCCAACTCTCATTTTGTAAACATTGAAGGGGTACTTGTACACGGAGCCCATTACCTTGGTGATTCCATGACACATTGCCTGCATTATGTGTCCCTTTTAACATATGTGCAAAGATTTTTTGTCATAATCCCATCTCTTTTCAAAGTGATTGATGTGTCTGATTTCAAAACTCTGTCTGTCAGGACACCATAATGTGCAGAGACATCAGATACATGAAAGACTATGTACCACCGCCCAGCAAATCCACCAAAGTAGAACCAGCTGCCGAGAAAGCAAAGGAGAAGGTGGACACTAAAGAGGTGCGAAGAAAAAAAACATTGCCAGCCTCAGAATAAGCCAGTTCCGTATCTCGATGAAGTAGTCCAGGGGCCAATTTCATAGGGCTGCTTAAGCACAAAATTTGCTTAAGCACAAAAACGTCTTGCTTAATAAAATCATGTTACCGGCTAAAACTCCATGCGATTGTTATGCTAAGTAAACAACAGCTAAATACCAGTCACAAGCAATGTACATCACATGGAGTTTTGGCCGGTAACCTAATTTTACTAAGCAATGTTTTTTCATGCTTAAGCAAGTTTTGTGCTTAAGCAGCTCTATGAAATTGGGCCCTGGCCAAAGGGCGTTCGGGATAAAAGGGCTGGCATCCACAAGCGTCTTGTAACTGCGATGTTACGCGAACGCCTATTCTGCTCGGTTTTAACGCGCGAGGGTTGTGCGACTGTCTCCTTGCGCTTTCATGAGGGTTTGATTATCCCGAATGACCTGTGACCTATATCATGATGCCCATGCGCAATTGAAATACTGAGCTGGCTTATTGAGTATACACTGTATCTTCTAGGAATTCTTGTTTTTTTAACTGAAACTCTCTGACTCTACAGACTTTTCGAGTGACGATGTTATTAACTTTTGCTTACAGTTATACCTGAAACTTTGTCCATAATGGAGCGTATCTTTTAGTGTCTATTTTTATTGTTTTCAGCCCGTCTTTTTAAAAGAATTCTTACTTAGCTGTGTGGATATATAGGGCAACACATGCGTACTTTAGCAAGGTCTGTATGTATATTGTAGGTTCAGCCAGGCATGATTGTTGATACATTTTAGGGAATTTATCATATAAGTTAATGAAACTGTCTCCCTTTAGAAAAAAAAGTTTGAATTGTCGATACACCTGCCTTAAATATCAAATAGTCAATGTCTATCTGATGAACGTTTTGCTAATTAAACAACCAGGCAAAGAAAGTGGCAAGTGAAGAGAAGTTGATTGATGCAAACAAGGGTGCAGCTGCTGATGAGGATAAAGGCCTGACTAGAGAAGGGGAGGACGAAGAGTTGAATAATGATGAAGCAAAGGATGCTGCCGAGAAATCAACAGAAGCATCCAAAGAAGAGGTTGAGATCACCCAGAGAAGCAGCAACGAGGGCAGTGAGATGATTGAGACGAAAAAAGTGGATGATGGACCCAAGATAGAGGAAGAGCAAAAGACGGAATTGCAAGGAGGGGACAATAACAGCCAACAAGATGGGCTGGAAGGAACAGAAGCGGGAACTGGTGATGGAGAGACAATTGCCCCCTCAGACCAGATAAAAGACGAAGCCAATGATAAAGCTATGACGACTTTGGCTCCCAAAGCTGCCCCCGGCGATGTGCAGATACTGCGACGAGAATCATCCGAGCCTGGAGCTGAGCATGTCCCAAACGGACATGCCGTTAGCTCAGCAGAGCAGCAAGACGTTGGAACTCTGGAGTCCCAAATGCCTGGAAACTTGACCACTCAGCCTGAAGCTTCTGGTCAAAATGGTGTTCCGTCGGATAAGAAACCTCCTGGAGAAAAATCAAAGAAGCAGCGAGAGAAGACATCGTCGGCGGCTGCTGATCCTGGCGCCTACTCACTGGAGCCCAGCGACGAAGATGACGAGGAAGGATCCGACCACCAACTGATTGAATTGCTGACTAGACAGTCAGATCGTGCCATGGCCCACAGCCCAGACAATGCTTTAGGTGATCGACGCAGTGCAAGCAGCGAGGAGATGCCGTACCCTGGGGGAGGCAGTTATCACCCCTACGGTGGGGTGGGATACCACATGGCACCTGGAGTCTATGGAGGGGTGCAGAAGCCGCCAGAAGCATTGGGGCTCAACCCGGTAGTGCCATCTGTTGAATCATGGTGAGTGCAAAAATTGGAAGAAATTATTGGCATTTATCTTGAATTTCGAGTAAATTTGAATATTGACCTATTAAAAATCTATACAGACTTGTTTTATCGTGATCAGTTATTACATAAAAACACTGTCTTCAAAACATTTTCCCATCTGAAATGCCCTGAAAAAGTCAGGTGCTTATTTGTTTAAGTTCATGTGCTTTGATCAATTGTCGTTTTGCTGAAAGAACACTGAACTTTTTTGGTGATCCGTGGACAGAACCTTAAAACGGTGGTTGTGTTTAAAACTCCGTAACTTGAAAAGTACACAAGTGATTTAAATGATTCTTGTACTGAAAGAAAGCTAATGAATTGGGCTTTCATATCCTAGATTTTAAAATCACTACATGCATAATTTCACTAAAACAATGGTCCTGACATTTGGGGTTTTTTTTTTTTACTCGGCCTGTAGATTCACACTTTCATCACACCACACAAAAAAACCAACCTCATCCCAGCTCAGAGTGTTTTGAATAGCTTTCATCCAATTGATTCCCAGGGCCTAGTAGTATTAGATATTCAAACATTTCTCAAGAATTCTTATTTGTTTATATTTCAGTGGGAGTAGTAACTTGACAGAGACTCCTATGCCAGACCAAGGAAGCTTTACAGGTGACGGATTCAAAATTAGTAAGTGTGACCAAAATATCCCAAATCAGCAGCAAAACGTCAGCTGGATAGCCATGGTTTTAGAATTCTCATATAACTTTAGAAATTTTGAAAATGAGGCTTTTCCTTTGTCAAATTTGAATATAAAAAAAAAAATATTTGAAGGCTTTCTCTTGGAATATTTCAGAGGACTTAATAATAAAAAGAAAAATAGAGTCCAGCCATTGTTGGGTGACATGGGGCTATGGAAGTTGAAGTACAAATTATGTGTCTTTTTGTCCTGTTCAGAGTACAATTTTTGAGGAATCAGGAAGGTGCATGGCCAAAGAAAATCTTGATCCTTCATTAGTTCTTTAAACTTGACTCCAAACCACTATTAGCAAATGGAAAGCCCTTTCTATCTCCCTGGCTTTTAAGCCAAGAAAGGGGGATCTTGCGGTAGTGTATTCCTTCTGTGTGGCCGTGTGTTCCATTTAGGTTAACTGTTTAGTGCTGTCATATGAAAAGTCAGACTTCAATCTCAACCAAACTTGGTGACAATAATAAAAAGTGCTGTCATATGAAAAGTCAGACTTCAATCTCAACCAAACTTGGTGACAGTACATCTTTGGGTAGGGGGACTTCAGATGATTTTGAGACATTTGAGGTCAAAGGTCATCTAGGGGTCAAATGAGATCATTGTTGATTTTGGTTAGGTGCACTGAAAGGTGTGCTTACGGAGTGTATAAATACTGCCAGCATGCCAGGGGGATCGCGCAAGTTTAACTTGCAGTATTCTTTGATTTTCTTGTTAGAAAGTTTTCATGTGCAACACAGGTTGACCATTACTGTGCCACTTGCACAGTGTGTACTCTCCTCAATTATGCTTACTTAACGGTTAAACAACTTGGAACAAAACCTCAAATTAAGCCCTGCGTTTTGTTGATTTAACATATGCAGATGTAGGCTTGAGCTTCAATATATATATTGCCACACCACTTTCCGACAATGGACGCTTCTGGGCGTCTAGGCTGAGGGGCCCGGCTCAGGAATCGCAGCTGCGCAGACTCATGCATGATATCAGGTGAGTCACCGTGTGACGGGGCGTACCATTGTCTGCTGTGATGTGGCCCCGGGAGTTTTGTCCACCCGAAAGGCAGAAAAATGGCCATCACACAGTAGACTAAGGCATAATAATAAACGCAAAGCTTTTTATTTACTTTTAAAAGTCGCAATCCCGGCATCAGACCAAAAATAGAGAAAGGAATAAGCGTACCTTTCCGCATCTCTTTGCTAGATGCTTCTTGCTCGATCCCTGCTCGATCGAACACTCGGCATGTACTGCTGAATGTTTGAGTAGTGCACTGGTTCCCGTCACCAAAAATATCCTAGGTGCAACGGACGGAGACCAGCTGCACTACTGGGCCACGGTGCTGATGTCATTGACCGATCAAGGTGTTTTTCGATCTTTGGTGACAAAATATTTCAGAGAAAGACTGCCAACAACATCGTTTGCAACGGCATAAAATATATTTGTTTTTGTCAAGTCTCCGAAATTGATTCTCCTTCCTTATGTATGTAAGTTGGATGTGTTTTCGTAGGTATTGACATTCAAATTATCAACGATAGCATGGGTGCATGCATTGAAGTAGAATAGCCAGTCAACATGGCATTTCTGGGCTGATGATTATTTGAACTTTCACGTGGAAGACAGATTCTTAAGAACCGCTACACGTACACATATCTGCTTTTAAATGGCCAATAGCTTTTTGTGCACCCTAAAAGGTATTTTTAAAAAATCCATGGACCATCTTACAATAGACAAATTATGTTTCTACAATCTGGTGATTGTTTTCCATTTGTTTTAGCTTACCATCGGAACCCCTGGCATTAGACAGACTGAAGGAGATCAAGGTAGTGTGCGTCCAGACCCCGTCCGGACAGTGGTGCCGTGGGAGAGTCGAGGGCTTCACTGATGATAAGGTTTGCATCAAGCTGAGTTGTATCACATGTCTGTCACAAGTGTATCACATGTCTGTCACATGGCCATCACATGGTCTTCACATATTCAATCACAAGTCAAATCACATCAGTCACAAGTCAATCACAAGTATCACAGGTCCATTACAAGTGCATGACAAGTGTATCGCAAGTCCATTACAAGTCAAGTCAGAAGTCAAATCACAAGTCAAGTCAGAAGTCAACTCACAAGCCAACTCACATATTAACTACAAGTCAAGCGCATTCAGTAACAAGTCCATCTCCAATTGGATCAGGGAAAGAATGTTGCATCCTGATGCCGCTTTTTTTCATCACATGTCATCTCAATGAAGGTCATTCATTGCAAAATGTTGAAAAGATATGAATCTGGGACTGAGAAACATTTCAAATCTTGTGAGAAAATACTTTGAAAATATTCTTGAAGCTCCATAGACTTTGTGCACAACCACCGAAGTGGCATCTGGATACTACATTTTTTGCTGGATTAGAAGTAACAGTGTATTAATGGTTAATGAACAATTGATTGTCAGTTTTCAAAACTGCATCATTGTCAGAGCTAAGTTATATTTTTGTTTTTTGGATGTAGGTACAAATTCGTTATGTCGATTTTGGCCAAGCTGACGTGGTAGAAGAGCACCGAATCAGGACTCTTCCTGTGGCATATCAGCTGTTCCCTTACCAGGTGAGTCAAAGATTCAGTGAATCATGTTGTATGTACTGTATTGAACCCCTCTGGCAAAGTAAAAACTTGTATATCAAAACTCATCCCTCCCTTCTCCCTTCAGAGTTGGACTGTAACTGATAGAATTTAGACTCATTGAACATATCGGAAAAAGTTTCATCTTGAAAGGATTATGCAAAAACAGTGACCACAGCAATGCAAAACATTCATTTTAAACCCTTTTAATATGTGTTACCATTTATATAATAGCGAACGAGAATGTGTTTGAACTGTACTTTGTCATTTGAAATACACATCTTTTCAGTTGTAAAAATGCTTCTGGTCTAGTAAAACAACCAAAAAAATTAGGTAATTTCCCTGTTGTCTATAAAATCCTGATGTCTGAGCCTCACTGATTGATGTGACTTGATAGTGTCTAATAGGGGTTGTAATTGCTTGGGTTTATTCAGGCCTTGGAGTTAAGCATTGCCACACGGCATCAGACCCGTTTCTCTGAGCAAGCTAAGGAGGCCTTCATGAGATACACACAGGGGAGAATTCTGACTGCCAAAGTGGTAAGCAATTTTTTGACGTCACCTTAATGGTAGCCAATTAGTGCCGGTTAGATATCATGCGACTGAAGGAGTCTCATGGCTGGTGTTTAGTGGGTGCTAATGCAAGAATTTGGACTGCGAATTTGCAAATGTTCAACTCATTTCAAATAACGAATCTAGTCATTAAAGTTTTGTGACATTGAATTGGATTTATACATAGGCATGAAGCGTGAAGTATATGAACTTGCTGTAAGACAAACAATTTCAAACACCTGTGGAGATATGCATATGGTAGAGCATCATTGTCCAGTGGTTATGGTGTCTGACTCGTGTGGTGGTTTGTCAAACACGACTCAAAACCGATCCGACCCGACCTGAAAGCGACTTTGGGTCGGGTCGGGTCGGGATGGTTTTCCCATCATTTCAGTCGGGTCGGGTTGGTTCGGTCTTGCGTTTGCGATTTTCAAGTCGGGTCGATTCGGTTGAGCCATCTTGTAAAAAACCCGAAATAACCTGAAATAAACCGAAAACCGGTTTGCAGTCTATCGCGCAAAATCTATAACGTGTAGGCCAACCAGCAGGTAACGTTATGAGTCTGCGCCGTGCCATACTGAGAGACGACGATTTTCTCACGACGCAGGCTAGTTCAGCCACAAAAAGCGGACACAGTTGCCCAAGCCAGATATTTGGGAGTTTCCAGGTCGGTTCGCTTTTGGGTCGGCTTTTGCTTGAATTTTGTCGGGTCGGGTCAGGTCGGATAAGGGGAGTTGGGTGCGTTGTGGCGGTCATAACCAAGAAATGGTTCGGTTGTTTCTTGTCAGTCAAATGGACGAGAATTACTCACGGTAATGCAATACTCAAACCCCCAAAACCATTAGCCAAAGAGAAACAACAGAACCAATTCTTGGTTATGACCGCCAAAACGCAACCCAGATTGATTTTGGTTCGGATTCGATTTATATCTATAATGTTTTGGGTCGGTTTGGCCTGGTCATCCTGACCTAATGCACAACATTAGTTCAAACTACAAAGGGGGTCTTGGTGCTTGTGTCCTTGGGCAAGGCACTTTATCGCGATTACCTCTCTTCAACCAGGAGTATAAATGGAAACTTTTGAGGGTAGAGAACAGGTTTTGCTGATATCAAACTGCAAGCAAAATAATGATGTCATGGTCTGATAGACAGGAAAACAATGTAGGTATGTATAATGTCAAATGAAACATATATTTTTGAGTGATCGTTTATTCTTTATTTATAATCATGCAAGTGAATATTAGGTAACGTATGTTCACATAAAGCAAAGATACACACACAAATTGAAGGAGCCATGATTACCGATGTTTAACATTTTTTGCATGCAGTATCATTGACCAACACTAATCATTGACTACAGCATTCAAAAAGTGACCATCGTTTTCTTTTATATAAACTGATCGAATTGTCGCAAACTTTCAAAAAATCAATCCACTCCCTCTCCCAGGGAAACACAAACACAAATACATGTATATTACTATCAGTCAAGGCATGGTACCTTCAGTTGGCAAAATTGGCACAGCCTGTCAATTGTACCAATACGAGCCCCAAACTGTCAAAAGCAGTCACTTGATAGATTTTGACGGATGGTATCTCTCTCCATTTTGTCAGTGACAGAGTGAGTTTTTTTTTTCAATTTCAAGAGGCTATTGAGAAAAAAGTGTGTATGGACAGCTTTTCTAAAAGGACAGTTCCAAGTGTTACTGAGTGACAAACACAAGCCATTTTCATATTTTCAACCAAAGCAAATCTTATTTACAGTTTAATTTTGATCAACAAACACATGATACATTGCGACAACTACTGCTACTCAATTTCTATAACACTAAAATATCCATCCTTGAATCATCATATTTATGAAATATGAATTTTCATAATTGCCGTTGCGGGGTGATGCAAAACAGACGTGACTTATGGTCACATATGCAAATCACTCCAACCCTCTGCATTTCAAAAAGCCATCGTATTTTTACTATTGTCATAGTCTTTCTGTATTCCGTTAGCTTTGATGTGCTGCCTTTCACTTAAAGATTGATCAAAAATATGTAAAACATGAGAAAAAATGTAAATCAGTAAAGCGTTATGGAGTGAATGTCGTGGAATGATTAAAGGTTTACCATGAGTGTGCACAAAAAACAGCTTTTCTGAAATGTACATTTATACACATTTGCACTAAAATCAACAATGAACCTTTCTCTATGCTAGTTACATTTAAATAACAAATAACTCACAATAGCACTTGCATTTTGCATGTGAAAACAAGATGCCAAAGTGACTACCTACATGTACAATCTAAAAGTTTAGCCCCAAAACCTGTTTTTTTTTACTACTACTGAACAAAAAATACATTTTACCACATTCCAACTTTTGATACTTTTGATACCACATTTGAGTTTGTGATTCTTGTAATTCTGAAGATTTCATAATATTTTCCACTTTTCAGCAATGTCCACACAATTCCTTGATGTAAAATTACAAAAGTACATGTATGTACCTTCCTTTGAATTTGGAGCACGGTGCCACCTAAAAAAAAAGGTGTCATATATATATGCAAAAATGTGTCATAATATTTCTTTTTTTTTTTACATTATTTGTTTTTGACATTACTACTCAGGATGTCCACTTGACACACAATAACGACCAAAGTTAATAAAATAACTAACAAACAAAGTGCATGGCCTATTGAATAGAGTAAACAACAAGGAACATTACATTCTCATACTTTGTTTTGAGCCATCCAACTTTAACATCAATTTTTAATTTACATCCATTTAATTAAAGACATCCATTTTAAAGCAACTATTTGTACAAGTTTATCAATGTATTTATTTTACTAACACAGTAGACAAGCATTTAAAGATATAGTCCATCATTTGAAATTTGTGCATTTTGTTCGTTTGAAGCAACAAAAGTGTTCAAAATCTAATGAAGGATACTGAACAACTAACCTGATGAAGTTGCAGCTCAGCTTCAGCTGTATATTCCGAGAAAAACAGCATTCTATGGTCTCAATTTCAAATCAAAAGTTGCTAAATCATGTTTTGAATTGTTTTGAATTGCAGCTATACGCGATGTCGCGCACTGATCCAACTAATTGTAGTAACCTCGCTCACCTGTGTGTCGTGCCAATGCTTGCGCGCACTGCTCCGAATAACAAAACGAACTACTAATTTAAATTTTCCTACGGTGCGTCTTAAGATCCTACGGTGTGTCTTAAGACGCACCGTTGGAAAGACCTTCTTTCGTTGATAACTTCAAAATGATAGCTTGCCAGAAAGATTAATTTCACAGGGAGTTTAGTCCACTTACTATCTTTCAACCAGGTATGTTTTTCAACAATAATACGCCAGTTACTTTTTCGGATGGCTGCAAATGATGGACTATAGCTTTAACTTTATACATGTACCGGTGTGCTGTATAATTAATAACATCAATACAATTATTCTGTAGTTACAATGCTCTTCCTATACTCTTCAACATGACTTTTTCTACTTTTTCAAAACTCTAATAATGCGCTTTTAGTTGAACTCACAAAAGACCCTTGAAATAACATTGGGCCGCAAATAATTCAAAATTTGTTTGGTATTAATATTTGTTAACTTTTTGTTCGATGTTTCATTAGGTAAAAAGTGAATAATATTTGTACATGTAGTACTAGTTACAAAAATACCAATTAAAGAACAAAATCTAGTTTTCAGTGTGGAACTGGGAAATATATTAAACGGTACATGTTGATAATAGTCTAGATTGAAATATTGAAAAATAATAATAATAATAATACCGGGGTCTTATATAGCGCCCTATCTACCAACAATTAGGTTCACAAGGTGCTAATGAATTTATTTTAAAGACAGGTAAACGAAGTATTTGAAATATGAGACCCTTTTTATGTACATGTAGCACCTTATAAGGGTTTACAAGGTGCAGCGGCGCATTAAGCAGCCACTGCCAGAAACACCGGGGCAAACCCCTTCTCTTGGCGGTAAGTGTTACTGGGTTCTTTTACGTGCATTACACAACACACGGGACCTATGGCTTTACGCCCCATCCGAAAGATGAAGCAATAATGGTTAGGTGTCTTGCTTAAGGACACAAGTGTCAAGACCGGGACTCGAACCCACACTCTGCTGAAACACCACGGAGCTTGAGTCCGGTGCTCTAATAACGGCTCGGCCATGACACTCCACAAAAAGCAGTTGTCAAAGTGCTGTACAAGCTGCACATGAACAAGTGAGTGCTAACACCAAATGTCAATTGAGCATTTCATTGACAACCAACAGATCATTATCAGTCCTTCATTTAAAGAAAATCCAGGAGAGCTATAAATCACTCTCCTCAAATCTTTGAGGAGAGCAAATCGCTCTCCTTAACATCCATGGATAAACAGCGGTGAAACGACAAATTAACATTATTTTTGTTTTGTTTTGAATATCAGGATTTTTTCAAGGGGCTGCATTATTATTAGTTTATGCTCAAGTGGTGTTACTTCTTTCGTTTTTGTAACTGTAAAAAGTAAGACAAGGTAAAATATATTTAAAAAAAAATAACTAAATGGAGATTAATAAAAGGTTTGACTACTGCTTACGCTTTCATTTTTTAATACAGTTGTCAGTTGGTTCAACACTTAATTGTACTTGGAAAATGGAGTTAATAAACGGCACATAAAGCAACTGAATACTTGTATTCAGATTCGTTAAAATGATATGAAAATTTTCAGCCTGAACTATTTCCATTGCACTACGAAGTACGAAAGCTACATAAAAAGGGCCTCAAAAATGACAAAAACAAGCCTTAAGTATTATCGAAATATTTGCCGACGATAATCTTAAAAAATAATGCAGGTCAAGTATGCACAATGCTAGTCACGACAAGAAACTGGCTAACAATGTCTGAACTTCGCTTGGTACGAGAGCGTGCCGCGTGATGCACTGTGTGTGGTGGGCCGGGAATGAGCCTCGTTTTATGGTATGAGTTTTTGGTGAAACACGCTGCATCGTTTCACTTCATAAACCAGTAGTACTTCCTCAAAATAAATTCATGAACATGGGAAATACATACACAGACAAGAGAGATCAAGTTCTGTGAATTAGCTTGCAAAGATCGTCTTTCTCATCGATGTTTTCTTCGCATTTTTACGATGTCTATTCCGTCCGCCCTGCATGCAAAACACTGTACTAGACTACGTGCATGCACCGGCACACCGCGCGCTACTATTGCATTGGCTGGTTACCGCATTTCCATCATGCCTTCTTTGGCCCATATTGCGCGGTGCAGCGGGAACCAGTCACTGCTGCACTAGCACGTACGGGCCCACGTGTTTTCATACATCAATGCAGCTCTATGCGATATGTAGCTAGTGCACGTACAGTATACAACCGCTGTACACGCACGATCTTTGACGGTATATGTACGAGCTCAGTGTTCGTTCATTTATACTATAGCAAAATTCCGCTGACTGAATAAACGTGAGTTTGGGCATTAATACAAATGAATAATACGTGTAGCTTAAGACTTAAAATCCTTGGCATTTTTATCAATTCTTATATTTAAACTGCCCATGTTTGATGAGCCCTCTTTTGGATTTTTGAGGAACGCTATTTTTTGCGCTCCTTTGAGACAGTCGAGGAGCACAGTAGGAGCGCCTGCGCGATCGCGCTCCTTAAAAATAAAGGACTGCATTATTAAATTAAGGCAATTGGTATCATCTCCATTTAAACTTCAACACAGATGATCAAATGATAGCCAAATCCAGCTCCAGGCACGATGCCACTGTACACTCACGGATGCTCCCTTCAATGGGCGAAAAGATTGTGCCATCGTCAGATAATCTGTCATGCAGCAGTTGCTTTGTACAATTGCTGGCAAAATGCTTTCGCCACATAAGGGAACCTCTATAAATGTACCTGTACTGTGTGCGCTCACAAAGTCGTGTTCACACAGTCGATTGTGGATACGTCCTATATTCCCTCTTTTGTTTGTACATGTGCACTAACTTTTTAGGAAGACTCCCATAGGTTTTGTACACGGCCCCAATCACGGACATATGCTGGGAATCGTGGACGATATTGTTCTCTTTTGTTCTCTGGTATTTTTCGTCCACGGTTTGAATAGATGAACATGCCCAGATTGATCTACACGAATATCTCTAATGTTTTCAGGCTTTCATTATCAAAATCAAATTTTGTTTATACTGAGCCACATCATCAAGTACCGGTAATTTTTAATTTCCGGAGCGACTCAAACGAAAACGGCCGTCTACATGCGCTTGTCATGGCCATTATTTAAGTCCTAAATTCTCTCTTCTTTTTTGGCATTCAAGGTATTGATTTTTATGTCATGTGGCATATTCAGCGATATTTACCTGGTGTTGACATTAGAAGACAACTAGGATTGCCAAATTTTACGAAATATGGTTTTGGAATATACAGTCGACTCTCGTTAGTACAAACTCTGTTAATACAAAATTCTGGTTATAACAGACATAAAGCCATGGTCCCGACTGTGCATTTACGTGCGCAATGAATGGGACTGATGTTCCTCTTAATACAAAATTCTGATATAACAAACAATTTGACTAGGTCCGAACGAGTTTGTATAACGAGAGTCGAATTGTAGTTTGGCATGGTGATAAAGATGTGATCAATGCACTTTAGTAGGATTATGTGGAGCCAAGGCTGTTTTTTTTTCCGTTTAAACAGCAATACACATTTACAGCATTTAAAATTCTAAGCACAAAATTATTCATTAGTGCAACTAGAAGTATAGGCCTATGGTACTGTACATGTGCCTATGTCCTGAATTATAGATCTGTGCACTTAGTGCCAAGAACATGTCATAATTCCTCCCCCCCCCTCCCCCCTGAAAAATATAATTCAGAAAAAAAAGACAAGAAAAGTTACATGTACACATATGCAGTACAATGTGCATTTTGGGAATTTAATGTAATACACAAAATAGTTTGAGGGGAAAATGTGTGTGAGATTACTGGTACTATGCTGGTACATGTACTCTAATCCTAATCCTCATGGGGTAGAAAACACAATAGAACAATAGACCCCATAAAGAAGTCTTTAGAAATCTATCTGCCCCATAAGGGAAACACTATGGAGTTTGAGATTTCAGTAGGAACAAAGGAGAACAAAAGAAGAGAAACAAAGGTCTTCCCCACTAGTATAATGTATGTAAGGCTGTGTGTCCGGAATGTGTTAGCTGATTTGACTACATGTACGTGTACTGATTTGACTACATGTACTGTTCAAAACAGTCCTCTGTAGTAGGTTCGTGTGCTTAGTCTATGGGAGAGTGTTATATTACAGGGACAAAGGAAAACACAAAGCATTGTCCTCGGGAGTGTAGTAAACAAGAATGATGGTATCTTCCAATGCAAAGTCAAGGGAGGAGGTGAAAATCAGCCAGCAACAAGGGGCCAGTAATTTCGGCACTACTTGCTGGGATAAAGCATGTTGTATTTGTTGGATTACACATCACAAACCGTAGCTCGCTTCATTGGCAGTTCAAGTCAACAAATGCAAACAATAATTGACCCATCCTAAAGGTTTTAGTATGGTGCCACCATTAAGGATCCTTACATGACATCACTACTGTTGCAGAATTGGGGGCTGATCTGGCCCGGGTAAATCATGTTTAGTTTCACGACAAATTTTTGGTGGAAAATTTCCCTCACGTTAAATGCAAATGGTAATTTCTCACGTTGTGAGGGTTTTAGTGTGTTGCCAACAGGAACCTCACTTAAGATCACTACTGTTGCATCATTGGGAGTCTAGAGCTGATCTTAAAAGTACATGTGCATGTGTGTGAGACATGCACTTCCCGATTGGTTGGGCGAAAGTAAACGCGTTGTGTATGCAGGATTGCTACTTATTATTCGCCCTGATTATACTAGAATGTATGAGGCCTTATAATACCTCCTCTTGACTCACTCGTCCCAATATGTGGGCACATTTATTTTATTTTCATGTTGCTTCGTTTCATGGAATAGTACTTTCCTTTCCAACTTTCCCAGTGGATTCCTGAGCGATACGGAGCCTTTGGCTGATGGTAGTACCTGCCATTGAGGCAAGCTATGGTACAGTAACCAAACCACCAACCTGCTCCATATGTCTCTGCACAATGGGGATCAACACCATCATTGTCCATGTCGTAGGTTGAGAATGGTTTTTTATTGTGCCATGTCAGAGAATCTGGCAGGGTACTGTTTATGTCATAGTCGGTGATCCTTACCCTGTACAAATTCCCCTGAACACCAAACTCACCATACTCAGCCCAAACCGTGTTGGATTCCCAGTCCTCCAACTCGATGCGTAGCCTCCACCATCCTGAATATTTTGTCAAATTGAGTAAGATGTCGTTGCCGATCCAGAACTCCCCGGACAGACTGCCGAAGCCAGCTCGGTAGGTTTCCCAATCTCGGTAGAAATCGACTGAGCCATTCTGCCGCCTCTGAATGACCATCCATCCCCCGCCGTCAGTTTCCATATCACAGTAGACCTGCAGACCATCGTTGAAGCTGTTTGGGTAGATGGTGTATTCACCGCTGGCTGTGAAGCCAGAGTCCAGGAGGTCCACACAACTGCTGAAATGTTGCACAGAGAGGTGGTTTGTTTCAGGAAAAGTGTCGATGTAGACACTTTGGTGAACTTCACTGAATGATGCAGGACTCTGGATCCTTGTTGCGGTGCAAAGTTCACATCGACGGCTGATTTCGTGAAAGTTGACGGAGAGACACTTTGGTAGCATAGCACATTCACGCACGCATGTTACCCTAGACTTCACAATTTTCACATCCAGAATATAACTGATCAGTGCACGATTTTCTGCAGTGTAGTATAACCGCAACTGTCCACACTGATGTGTACAAATAAGCTCGACTAGGCAGCATATTGTGAAAATAAGAAGCCCAACTCCATCCATGGCGACAAGACAATATTTATTTTAGATAAAAACACATAAAATCAACTCAGTCAATCGACTCAGTCAATCAGTTGATGTTCAGTTTTGGAGTTTCATATAGTAGTTGGATTTCAGAACACGCACGTACATGTACTGTTGAAGTGGATCGCTGTGAAGATGCAAGCGCCGGTCAACCAAACTACGGATGCGCCTATGCACAGAGATCTATGAGATCAGTTGTGGAGTGCCTTACGAGCTCAACTCCCGAGAAATGACAGCTACATGAGGAGTTAAATTAGATATAAGATGCTACACATTAGAGGCAGCTGATTAACTCACTATGCTCAATTGAGCAGAACCAATAATGGTCCAGCTTGTAGTAGTCTAGTTTCCAAAACCAGGCCATGAATCAATTTTTGATCATAATTTCATGGAGCCACATTCATCGTCGTTCCTCAAAGTGTGTATTGTGACGGAATAGGAATTAGGTCACCAACTGTATGTTTTAAATACACTAGCACACTGTGAATCACCCACACTTTGCATATAAGGAATCCTTGTTTCTGATTGGTCAATTGAGTTTATGCACTGTTGTATGGCAAAGAGAAGTTGAACACAGCCTATGGGGCTTGAAGTCAAAGGGGTTGCAGGGCTAGGATTTAGTCACTTGATTGCTTGATTCGCCAATGATTAGAATAATTGCTAGGGTTCTTGATTGAGTGGAATGATATGACGGATGATGATGATTAAAGGCATGACCACCGTACTTGATTACTGTTTCTGTTCACCAATTACTAGTCTGTCTTAGTGTATAGGGTCTACTTAGGACTAAGTCCAGGGCAAAGTCCCAAGGAAGATAAGTTGCTCCACCCACATTCCAACTCCGCCGACTCCGCCCACATTCCGACTCCGCCTATTCCGCCCCATTCCCACTCCGCCCACATTCCGACTCCGCCTATTCCGCCCCATTCCCACTCCGCCCACATTCCGACTCCGCCGAATCCGCCCACATTCCGACTCCGCCTATTCCGCCCCATTCCTACTCCACCCACATTCCGACTCCACTGACATTCCGACTTAACTGACATTATGATTCCACCCACTTCCTACGACTCCACATTCCGATTCCCGGTTCCCACTCCCATTCCACTGCCCTGACTACTACTGGCTGATCCGGTCAACCGAGAAGCGGGGATAGCCTGGTGCTGTGGCCCACCACTGCAGGGATAGGACACCATCGGAACGGCACGCTACTAACCAGCCTGACGCAGGAGAGCTGGCACGACACGTCACAGTATGCTTTTAACAGTGTTAACAGAAAAAACCTTGGACTCGGTCTAGGCCATGAAATTGGTGTTCAGTTTTGGAGTTTCATATAGTTGTTGGATTTCTGAACACACACGTATTGTTGAAGTGGATCGCTGTGAAGATGCAAGCGCCGGTCAACCAAACTACGGATGCGCCTATGCACAGAGATCTATGAGATCAGTTGTGGAGTGCCTTACGAGCTCAACTCCCGAGAAATGACAGCTACATCCGGAGTTAAATTAGAAGTGAGGTGCTACACAATAGAGGCAGCTGATTAACTCATCATGCTCGATTGAGCAGCACCAATCATGGTCCAGCTTGTAGTAGTGTAGCTTCCAAGTCATGGCCATGAATTAAGTATTGAATATGCCGTATAATTTATCCTCTTTTTTTTCAATTGATTTTGTATTAAAGTGTGGGTAGTGTTGAAGAATGTGGGGATGAATTCGTGATTTGGGCCAAGGTGATGTATTACAGTGCATGTAATTCATTACATGTTGGCTGACACAATTATCTTGAAGCCATCCATGGTGTGTGTTTTAATTGTAATGTTGGGCGCATGTTACATACATGACTGGATAGTTTTGTGACCGTATTGAAATATATGCGCTTCATTTAAAGGTTAAGGTTTTTTTTTTACCTTATCAGAAAAAGAAGGGAATATAATAGAATTTCTCCAATCATAAAGTTGAACTTGTAGGCCTAATGGTATCATATATTCAAAGTTGCTTTCCCCATTCCCCAAGCCCTTCTACAAATTTATACATGTACTTTTTTCTCTCTTAATAAATGTTTTTATTCCAACCCCCCAAAAAAATCAAATTGTTGACTTTTTGAGGCATCTGCAGCCCTCTTTAAGTTTTATGTTTTTTATTTTGACACAAACAAAACCGTCTTGGGAGCAGACTGGTTCCTGTTCAGTACATTATCGAGAACAGAATTATACGTGTTAGATACATGTACGTGTGAGCATAGATGCACATGATGTGTGTCCCTTCCACTGAAGTTTTCAAAAGTGCTGAAAAAATCTACTGTTTATGCACGGAGTCCATGGGCCTTGTGCACGAGTTGGCCATTTTGGTTGTGTTCCCTGAATGTACCGGTATTTCATCAATTGTGAAGAGTTGAATGGGATGGTGCCAGACTATTTATTCACTTTAGCCTCACTTGCATCTTGCATTTTTTTTTAATGTGGCTTAAACACTAGAGTTTGTTTAATTACACATTTTAAGTGATTCAACTGAGCAGACTGGTATTAATTTGTAACGTCATCGGCTTTCATTTCTCTACACAAGTTCCAAAAATGAAGATTTTACCTCACTCTCAATCCAATATGGCCGACTCGTGCATAAGGCCCATAGTGGGAAATTCTGATAGCATATCGTGTCAGTACTGGGAAACAGTTTTAAAGCTCTTGTATTCCATTAAAATGTTACAAAAAAAACTGAGTAGTAGATTTTAAAACGCACTTTAACAGTGACATGAACATATCACAGTTTATTCAGAAACTGGGGCCTCCCCCTCACCCTCCCCCCCCCCCCCCCCCCCCACCAAAAAAAGAATGAAAAAGAATTAGATAAAAACATGTACCGGTTATATGTACCCGTATCCCACATGTACATATGCAGTACAATGTGCATTTTGGGACTTTATTGTACATTTACAGGGCGAGTGAAAAAAAGTGGAACCCAAATCCCATATAGTATATTTCATATTTAAAAAAATATGTAACACCAAAAATAATAATAACTGGAAAGCCAATTTCATAAGCTACTTTTAGATGAAAAAATTACTGAAATTGGTCAATCCGTTCCAAGAATATCACCATTTAAACACAATGACCCTAAAACCTGTCTCGTCCAAAAAATGCGATTTTAACAATCGTCACAGTTGTCTTCAAACATCACCAGTGATGAAATCTTAGTTTAAACGTTAACAATGTGCAACAAAGTCCTTTTGAAGGCCCGTCTTTTCAAAAAGTAGATTTTATAAATCATATTGTTTGCCTAACCAGGGTTGTCAATCAAAATATTGTGTACTACAGTTGGTGACAGTTGTTGAAACAAGTATTCTGTGTCATTTTCTTTGTTGTTCCAAACAGTCAAAACACACAATAAATTGCTTTTTTGGACGAGACAGGTTTTAGGGTCATTGTGTTTAAATGGTCATATTCTTTGAACGGATTGAGCAATTTCAGTAATTTTTTCATCTAAAAGTAGCTTTTGAAATTGGCTTTCCAGTCATTTTTATTTTTGGTGCTACATATTTTTTTAAATATTAAATATATTGTTTGGGGTTTGGGTTCCGCTTTTTTTTACTCACCCTGTACATGTGATAGGCCTACAAAGTAGTTTGAGGGTAAGATGTGTGAGATCACTGGTCCCGAATGTGTTGCCTGATTTGACTACATGTATCTCCCAATTAATGCAAAGCCCGGGGAGGAGGGTAAAATCAGCCAACACCGAGAGGCCAATAATTTGGTACTTCTTGCCCAGATAAAAAAATGTTGAATTGTGTTGGTTAATTACACTCCGTACATGTTTAGTTTCATATTCAGACGTCAACAAAATTTGGTGAGAAATCCCTCCTATTAAAAGAATTGTTACAATGGGCTGCAATGGAATGCGCCACAATGGGCTGCAAATTTTGTTTTGAACGTTATGATGGCTATTGGAAAGTTTTTTTAACAGTTGAATATAAACCCACAACCATCCTTTAAATACTGTGCATGTTTGTGTTGTTCTTTGGGTAACCACAGGAGGACGAATTTTGGTGGGTCAAAATTTTGACTCTCAAAAATCGAGCTGTTGAATGGCAGTTATGAATCCTGCTGCATAGTGCATCGCATTCTGCGGATGTGCAAGAAGCAACATTTGTGTATAAGTGCTGTGTACTATGTGACACATGCAGCTTGCACCGTACATTGAATGGGCACAGCTGGAAATACGTACTCGTATACCACAAAATATTCACTGCGTCCGATGTAAATGTTGTTTGTGCCTATTCTCAGGAACAGTTACACAATAAGGATGTTTTCCATTCACCAGACCTTTAAAAAAGCATAGATAAACAATCCAAAACATAAAATATTCGGGTATTTCAGGCCGTTATTTTCCTTTAAATGCAGATGGTAATTTCTCTGTTTTTGAAGGTTTTAGTATTGTGCTGCCAGGAACCTCACTTAAGATCACCACTGTTTCCTAATTGGGTCATTCTATCAATTTAGGGTCCAAAGTGGGACATTTCCTGTCCCTGTTAGTGTTACCTTGGTACTTAGTAATTTGCCATGCAAGTTTCATGAGAAATGACTTCAAATGATGTTTTATTTATTGGGTCTAGGTAGTTTGCTGTTCATAATCACTCTTGGAGGATGACTGCATTAAGGAGTGCATCAGAATCATTAAATCATAGATGTCAGATGTAACAGGGACAGGAACAAAAGTGGAACACTAATTTATAGAAAGACCCAATTGAGAGTCTAGAGCTAATCTTTAAAGGGAATGTACAGCATTTGCTTTTGCTGCAATTTTCAGAAATAAATGGATTTGGAGGATTAGTATTTTATAACAAATATTGTTACACTGACTTGTTTCACGTTTTGGGTTCGTAGATGCTGGAAAACCAAGAAAACCAATCACATTCTTGTAGTCTGGTTCCCAGACCCCACTTAAGATGAAACGATGCAATTTATAGACTTTGGGGAATTGTACGATCAGAGAATCAGTCTAGCAGGCATGTAGTCTTCGCAGGTGTGTAATCAATTGCAAAGAAAATGCAGACGAACTACATTGTAAATATAAAAAATTAGGAGCACTTTTTGAGAAAAAAAAAACAGTTTTCTCCAACGCTGGTCGGCCGGGAGCCACAACTTTACAGGATGCTTTAGACTGCATTCTCTAACAATCAAGTAAGATATTTCCTGATAATTTGATCATTTCGTTTTTTGATGATTGCAAATGTTGTATCTTCCCTTTAAGTACCAGTACACACATGCATACGAAATAGTATTTATGCACTTCCATGGTACTACCGGTATCTACTAGTTGGGCATCTGCCCTGACCCCTATGTGTGTGATATGCATGTATACATATAGCTACTTGTATCTCCCTTGTGATGGAATGTTGACCAATGAAAGAAACTGTTTAACTCGTATACATGATGGCTTAATCCTCTTGAATCACTCAGCCCAATATGTAGGCATACTTATTTTATTTTCATGCTGCTTCGTTTCATGGAATAGTACTTTCCTTTCCAACTTTCCCAGTGGATTCCTGAGCGAAACGGAGCCTGTGGCTGATGGTAGTACCTGCCATTGAGGCAAGCTATGGTACAGTGACCAAACCACCAACCTGCTCCATGTCTCTCTGCACAATGGAAATCAACACCATCATTGTCCATGTCATAGGTTGAGAATCGTTTTCTATTGTGCCATGTCAGAGAATCTGGCAGGGTACTGTTTATGTCATAGTCGGCGATCCTTACCCTGTACAAATTCCCCTCAACACCAAACTCACCATACTCAGCCCAAACCGTGTTGGATTCCCAGTCCTCCAACTCGATGCGTAGCCTCCACCATCCTGAATATTTTGTCAGATTGAGTAAGATGTCGTTGCCAATCCAGAACTCCCAGGACAGGCTGCCGAAGCCAGCTTGGTAGGTTTTCCAGTCTCGGTAGAAATCGACTGAGCCATTCTGCCGCCTCTGAATGACCATCCATCCTCCACCGTCAGTTTCCATATCACAGTAGACCTGCAGACCATCATTGAAGCTGTTTGGGTAGATGGTGTATTCACCGCTGGCTGTGAAGCCAGACTCCAGGAGGTCCACACAACTGCTGAAATGTTGCACAGAGAGTTGGTTTGGAAAAGTGTAAAGTTCACACCGATGGCTGGCTTCGTGAAAGTTGGCAGAGAGACACTCTGGTAGTATAGCACATTCACGTACGCATGTGAATCTAGACTTCACAATTTTCACCTCCAGAGCGGTATTGTTCGGTGTACATTGTTGTGAACAAGGCAGTTTAGTGAGGTACAGTATGGTGAAAATAAGAAGACCAACTCCATCCATGATGCAAAAACAAAAAAGTAACAATGACAGTAAGCTCAGTGGTCAACTCAAGTCAAACGGCTGGTCAGAGAGTGTGTGGCAGAGGGCTCCTAAGGAAACCAAATAGTGGAAGTTGTTATCACTGCACATGATATTCGACCGAAAGTAATATTGATCAAAGTATCATGAAACCATCCTCCTTGATGTTCCAGGTCATGATAAAGATGTTCAGTTTGGAATGTGCCTGTTGTTGCTGGATTTTGGCCCACGCACAGCCATTGTTGAAATAGATCTGTATGATGTCGATGCAAGAGCCAGGCAACCAAACTACACATTTGCCTACATGCAGAGTTTGGAATCACTGCCTTGTGGGCGCAACAAGTAGTCTGGTTTCCAAGTCAGTTATTGTTGGCATGGCAATGAATTGGAATTTGTTTGGTGCAAGAAGTGCATTTGTTCAAGGTGTTTTTGTTGTTTTACAATTTTTAATTAAAGTTTGGGCAGTGTTGTAGTAGGGTGGGTGAGTTTCCATGGTGATATAATACGGTGCTTTGTTACCTGTTAACTGAACTAGAAATATTGGAGCCATCCTTGGTGTGTGTTTTTATTCGATTTGTGGGCGCATGACGCGTGACTGGATAATTTTAAAGGTTAGGCCTTATGTTTGTTCATCATATCAGTAAAGAAGGGAAACCTCAGAAAAACAGGCTTTTACAGTGTGAGTAAAAAAAAGCGGAACCAAAAGCCCAAAAATTATATTTCATATTTAACAAAAATATTTAGCACCAAAAATAATTGTGACTGGAAAGCTGATTTCATAAGCTACTTTTAGATGGAAAAAAATACTGAAATTGCTCAATCTGTTCAAAGAATGTCACCATTTAAACACACTGACCCTAAAACCTCTTTTGTAAAAAAAATGCGATTTCAAGAATCGTCGTCACAAATGTTTTCAAACATCACCAGCGATAAATCTCACTTTAAAAGTTAAAAATATTCAGTAACTTCGTTTAGAAGGCCCATCTTTTCAAAAAAGTGGATTTTATAAATCATATTGTATTCTGTGTCATTTTCTTTGTTGTTCCAAACAGTCAGAATACACAGTAAATTTTTTTTTTTTTTTTTTTAGCGAAACAGGTTTTAGGGTCATTGGGTTTAAATGGTGATATTCTTTGAACGGATTGAGCAAATTCAGTATTCTTTTCATCTAAAAGTAGCTGATGAAATTGGCTTTCCATTCATTATTATTTTTGGTGCTACATGTTTTTTTAAATGTGAAATATTATTTTTGTTTGGGTTCTGCTTTTTTTGACTCACCCTGTATTTGGGTCAACAGAACCGCTTTGCAAGCATACTGGTTCCCAGTCTGTACCTTATTGAGAAGGGAATTATTGTTGGGCCGCAAGTAATTTCGAAAATTTTTCCCCTTAAAAATTACTTTTGTCCTCAGTGTCACTTGGTGAGGTTTAAAAAATGTTGTGTTAACCCTACATGTATCTCCATCAAAATCCATCCCCCGTTTTGTAGGATTTTGGGGGACTTGGAAGTTAAACTTCCTGGAATGCAATCAAGTACCAAGGTGCTTCTAATGCTTTGTAAAGTAATAAGTTTACAGACATTGTTTCTTCTTTTTTAGTGAAAAACAAAGAGAGAAGGTAGATTGTGTAAATACAAGATGCCAATTTTATATTCTTGTTCTGTTTAAAACAGTTGGGAAAAATTCAAAACATAGTTTGACCGATATTCGTCTGAATGATTAACTGTCTCAATGTGATATCTATAACTTAGGTAAATCTCTTATCATTCAACAGGTTGCTACAGAGCCTAAGAGTGTATATGTTACCCTGACATGCGTGGATGAGAATCAGCTTTCCTATGACATTTCGTCAGCCGTGCTAAACATCAACTCTGAGACAATGCCAAGCACTGCAGGTAGGCTGCTGCCGTTGACAATACCAGACAGCTTTGGGTCGACATGAAGATATTTCTAACGCAGAAGGGTTGTGCAGCAGTGCAGGGACAATGGGAAGCAGTGTCATAACCAAGGGGGCGGCCAAAGGTCCCCCCCCCCACCCAATTGATGCCTTTGCTCCCACCCCTTTTTGTGCCAAACCCCTTGCCCCCCCCCCCCCAAAAAAAAAAATTCACCCCAGCCACTGAAGAATACATTTATCCCTTTAAATTTGTTATCTGTCACCATGAACAAAACATACATGTACAGTCAGACTTTCAAAGAATAAAGATATTTATATGATGCTGCAAAACAAGATCTTTCCAATGGTATATCATTTGGGTGAACATTGTTTTAGAGACTACCAACTTGAAGTTGTAAAACCATTGTATGAGAAATTGCCTTTTGAAATCTTGCTGTTGTGTCACTGTGAAGGAACAGGATGGGCACAGAGTTTGAAGATGTTTGGTAGAACAAAATAATTGGAGAAGGGTACAACAGGACTAACCAGATGAAGGTTCAACTGAAAATAAAACAATTGACCAGCCTTTCAATGTGGCTTTTCCCGACTGTATTTCAAAATGGCAATTACAGACTTTATGCTCATTTTGTGATGGACAGGTCACATATCAGATAAGGATAAGGAGACATGAAATCTATACCTATACCTTTTTTATGTCAAAATGTACTGAGCATTGTTGGTTGGAAAATCGCTATGAAAAACAACTTCGAAAACAAAAAGCCTGTTTTGGACCTCATTAGTTTCAGTATAGTAATGTACTTCCACACTTCCCTGCTCCCTCAGGACATTCCATCCATTGGTCTGTACTACAATGAAGTCATTTCTACTTTGTGAATTTGTGGATTTTTCTCCTGTTTAAACAATTTTACCAGAGGAAAGATCCAAGGAGCACCATCCTGGCTCCACCCGCCGAGGAAGCCGTGATGAGCACAATGAAGGGCCAGTCAGTGAGGAAAACAGACCATCCGACAACTATGATGTTCGATATGAGTCAGTCTTTTATTTTGTCTTGGAATTTTTTGAACACTTTATGATAATTTTTAGTTTGTTTTTATCTCTTTTTTTTTTATTTTAATAAAAGCTTTATTGACAGTTGGTTCAGATACTTACAACTGTGATGTTCGATATGAGTCAGTCTTTTATTTTGTCTTGGAATTTTGTGAACACTTTGTAAATTTTTTCTAGGTTTTTATCTCTTTTTTTTTTATTAAAAATGTTATTGACCGTCTGGCCAGATTCTTACAACTACAATGCCCATAGCGTCTGCAGATGGCTAACCTTTTAATCCCTCTGTTTTTAGTAACACATTGAAAGCTTTTCAAAATCAAATCATATAGTTCAGGTATAAAGCCTTCAAAAAAAAAGAGAGGAAAAAAGGGACAGATAGTTGACAATGTATTTTTTGTTTTGTGCAAAATTGTGATTATTTGAGAAAATCACAAAATGTGTGTTGTTTGGCATTTCGCATTGCACATTATATAGAAGTGTGGGCACTGAATAAGTTACAGCAAATTTCCATTGCAGTAGCATTCTGCCCATTCTCTATCCTTAAAATTTGAAAATTCCTGTTATGGTTTTGTCACCACAGCCAGCATTACGAGGGACGGTCACATGACCGTGGATCATCAGGTGACCGATGCTTTGTCTGTAGCAACTACGGCCATCTCAGCTACGACTGCCCCAGCAAGAGAGGCGACCCCAGGGAGCGTAATGATCGCAGAAACAAAGGGGGCTCCAAAAAGGTAACGCTGTGCCTGTGTGAGTCTAAGACTGTGGCTTTTGATAACATGCAATCTGTGGCATGAGCCATAGCCAAAGAAAATGTATAAAGTTGTTCAAATACAGAACCTTATATCTGTGGTTGATGAACTCAAGAAAACAACACATTTTGTTTTTTGACAATGGGGTTGTTAATGTGGAGAGTAGTGGGCACAATGCTTTTTTACTGTACCTGAGTTGTCCCGTGTGTGCAGTGATAACATGCCCTTTTTCAGATAAACCTGCCCTCATCTGATCCTTGAGGTCCAAAATGGCAAGTCCTACTTCTGTTAGATGCTTAATACCTGTGATTAAAGCCCTGTCCGCACTGGACTTTTTTTGGTCAAACTAACCGAGACTATGGGTACTTTTCCCATTTTAAGTCCAGTGCGGACAGCCTAGGACGTTTTCCTCTCAGTTACTTTTCCTGAGTCCAGCGGTTACTTTTACTGGCCAACTGCTGCCCAGGAAAACTTCCCACGCGCCCAGGAAAACTGACCGAGTCGCTTTTCCCGAGACGATTAGTCCAGTGCGGACAGTGCGAGTCGGTAAAAGCGGCTCAGGAAAGCGTACATCCGGCCCAAGCGCCCTGTTATGCATACAGAGACCGCACGAACCTGCACGTGCAGTGGCCGAACATTTTGTAGAAACACGCTGCGGTGTATTATCAAGTCCGAGCGGTAAAATCTCGTTAAAATATATATATTTCAACGGACAAATACATACACAGAGAAGAGAGATCACATTCTGAGAATTAATTTGCGGAAATTCTCTTTCTCCACCGATGTATTGTTATTTTCTACGATCCAAATTCGTCCTGATACGCTACTGTATCATGCACGGAACATCATGGTCCGGTACCGTACGTAGGCCGTAGTCACTGGTTCCTGGCCCACATCATAGCTTCGATTCTGTAAGCATGCGATGGGAACCAACGAATACTGATGGCACTGCTGCCGCACGGAACATCGTACAGCGGCATGGCTTCGACGACGTGCATCACAAATGCGTCAGAATTATAGGCCCTTTCGTCAAGATTTAGCGTGTCAAGATGAAATAATATCGTGTAAACGATTATGTTATGCATGCAAATGGCGTGTGTAATATTACTGAGCGTATCGGTGGCTGAAAATGTGATCGGCAATTTGTTTTCTGCGTACGGTGAGTCATTATACTGACACTGTGACAGCTCGGTTACTTCTCCCACGCGGTCGGGGTAAAATTTCCCGTGTCGAAAGTCCAAGTGCGGACAGTGGTCACATTTGACCATTTTTCATTTTACCATCGTCTCGGTAAAACCTTCAAAAAATAAAGTCCAGTGCGGACACGGCTTTAATCACTCGCTTAATTCCATGAAAGTGCAACAATTTTGAATCTAAGTTTCTTTTCCTGGCTCAATCACAATTGTTCATTGCACTCCATATCACTGAATTATGACCATGTCATTGGTATGGTCTTACCATGTTCCGCAGTTAGCTTTTACATGTTCCTCCGAGTTAGGACGTTGGTTGTGAAAGAAGTTTGTCAGTGCCTACTGCCTAGTCATTCCAGAGGAGTCCCATCCTCGGAACGTAGCTTTGCCTTTGCAACCAGCAAAGCGTACAATGATTATGTGAAAGCGTACGTCTCAGATTAGAAAATGAACAAGTCTAGTTATAAATTCATTCAGTGGAGTAAGCCTAATTCCTGAAGCTTTTTTTGTGTGTAAACACTGTACAATTAGTTTTGGCATTAACCTCGTTTATGATAACTGTGTCCTTTTTCAGAATTGGGGAAGGAAGAACCGCAAGTATTAGATGTGTGGTGATGTCAGGATGGCTCCTAACACGACCAAAGATTAACTTCTCAGGGTGTGCTTATTTTCAAGACTTTTTGTGTTGCCAGCATTTGTATTTTGTGTAAAGGTCAGAAGAGAATTTCAAGTTGTTTTAGTTGTAATGCTGGTTCTTAAGCCTGCTGCACACCTTTACAATTTTATCAGTTCACTGGATCATGCGGTTGTTGGACGTACAGATCGGAAAGGTGTGCGTATGAAATATCGGCCCAATCTGACCGTACACTGGGCGAACGGATGAAATCAAACATGTTTGATTTTTTTCGCATCCAATATCACTGGATCCGATGTCACCAGAAATATGTGCGAACAGCACTTCGATTTCACCAGACGCCGTGTTTATGTTAACCAATCAGATTCATGAAGAAAGTCACATGATTCAAAATTGACGGCTGCCATTTTGTCAGGTGACTGGTCATCATGAGACTGGACATCATGTGACTGATCATAGTGTGACTGATCATCATGTGACTGATCATCATGTGACAGATAATAGAACAGAATCGGGCATGTGTGCGGGTAACGTTGCGGTCTCCGCAACGGTGAAAAAAAAGGTACCAGTGATCTGGTGAGCCAGGAAAATCGGAAAGGTGTGTGGATTTTTAATTTACTTCCCTCCCCCTTCACGCAGCCATTCCCTGATAAGTGAAGTCGAGCTGCTGTGTGGAAGAGGGCACTATCAACAAGTTCAATCCAATCCAGTCTTTGAAACTTTGACGCTAAGACCATGAGCTTACCTCACCAGCACATTAGCTTGGAACATTGGCACTTGGGCCCTGAACATACCGCATGCACATTAGCTTGAATACAGTGCACATCATTATTATTTATTTCTGGTAATGAAACCAAGGATTCCTCAAAAGTGCCCTAGGCACTGTAGCTCGCAAGCCTGAAGAAACCTGTAGAGAGGAGACAATGAGAAGAATCTACAATTTTAGCAGAGCGAGGAAAACCCCAGACGAATATTCTGGGGAAAACCCACACATTCATGCAGAGACTGAAAACCCAATCCACATGTTGGCCCAGGTGGGATTCAAACCCAGGTCACAAGAGTGGAAGGCGAGGAAAGTACTGCTACACCAACCTGATTCCCCATCTCGTGAGGTATGCTCAGAATTTCTTGGGTTTGAGAGCAAAAGTTCCCGAGAGTGGATTTGATTCATCTTGTTGAAAGAACCCTCTACCACAGCATACCACACATGCCAGGGGTTGGGACTGGTAGAATAAAATCCAAATCTGCTATTGGACCAATACTGGTAAAAATTCAGTTATATATCTTGAACTGGTGTTTTGCAAGACTTTGATGAAGTTTTACATTATGTCCTAAGAGTAAAATCACAATTGACAATTGTTGGGTTTCACAGTTGTTTTGAGTTCATTGGCAATTTGACTTAACTGGTTTGGCAATTGCGTATGGTTCATGGGATTTTGTCTCTCAATTCAAGCAGGCCACAAGACTTAAATAAATGACATCAAAGACCAACTCCAGATTTTGGCAAATTCTGAAGCCTGGTTGATTAGTTAGGTGATGTCCTTTTTTGTCCAACAGAAGATGTTTCCAATACAATTTTCATGTGAGATATGTAATAGGCCTACATTTTCATGAGACTTTTGTGCAACACAGATTTTATTCACGCAAAAGCCCCAATTTTGAACTTGGTGTCTTTCTATTGCCTAGTTTGTGTGTGTTGTATGGCATTATACTGTACAGTGTTTGCACAGTGCTCTGTAAAAGTCTACAGAAATCATTCTTAGTTTGTTTTATTCCTTACTGGACTACTCTAGTTCGTAGAAAAAAATGCTCACTTTGTACATATCATTTCCTAAGTCAGTTTATGTTTGTTGAAATGATTACAGTTTAAAGCAAATTAATATTAGGAAAAAAGAATGAAGAAATCGGAAAAGAAAGAAAACGTTGGAAAAGAAACACAATGATGTCATAACCTGCAGCGAATATGCAGGGAATTTATTTGTTTTTTTTAAGTCCATTTTTTTACCCGGTATTTTTGTAATAGAGTGAGCTATTTCATATGGAGCTCCAGAGGTGCCATCCTAGAGATTGAGATCCTGACATAATTTGTCACGGGATGACGACATGTTTTAAGAGGGATGCCAACATTCTCGGCTAGATCTGTCGCGGGTAACGCAATGCTGAAAGTAGGATCCCGAAGTGGTGAGACAGTCTATCACGGGATGACAACATAATGAAAGAAGTATGTATGTCGACATCCCGAGATACCTTCGAATGCTGTTTTGTGGAATTACGAAAAAGCAATCCTACTTTCAGGATGTCGTCAACTGGTGATGAATTTTCTCAAGTTGTCGACATCATACTCTTGGGATGTTGTTATCCCTAGGACGTTATCCCTGTCATTATCTGAGGACGTCGACATCATATTTTTACGATGTCATCTTCCCGTGATAAAACATCTCAGGACGTTGACATTTACGTGTAGGATGTCGTCATCCCATGAAAAGTTATCTCGGCATCTCAACATCTTGGATGGCACCTCAAGAGCTCCATAGTTATCTTTCAAACACTGCGGTTCAAGTTTAAAAAAACTAACTAATTTTGACAAAGTTCATTGTTTTGTTCTGATTGTACATTGTATTTATAATATACAAAGTTCATGAAGACGTCAAAGTTAAGTAACTTTGCCTAGAACGTCTGTAATTCAGAAAAGTTATCTTCAAAATTAAAAACATTCGCGTTACATGTATTTCGCTGTTCCTCCTAAAAAAAGTGGCTGAAAATTAACAAAATCAAGACAAAGTCCAATAAATTACTTTTTTTAAGTGTTTGTTCTTGCCATAAAAAGTATGGTTTGCATGATAAATACTTTTGATACACCTGTAAGAAATATGTACATGTAGTTTTCTTTAGATGGAAAAATATATATATTTATGTTCTCACTTGAAGATTTTTTTTAATCAGTCAAAAGTAAAGAAGCATAATAACCAATTTATATTCCTTTCGTGTGGTTGACCGAGGTGAGGTAATGTAAGTAATTAATTGATTTATTTACTTTCATTTCTCAACTTCCTTAGTTTGGAAAATGACACAGGGTGTCTTTTCCCTGATAAGATGATATATACCCATTCGTTGTATTAATCCAACCATTATTTTACACAGGAGAAGAATGGATTATAAATGCGTATATTGTTATGGATTTACCTGTTGTCAAACTATGGTTCTTATTTGTCATACACAATGGTAATGTTTTGTATGTTACCATTGAACAATGGACCGATGTAGTACGCTCCGCCCAATGCGCACTGGACAAATTAACACGTGCTCCTCACCAATGCCACACTGCATTTTCCTGCCGCGCGCATCATACGCGCGTGCACGCTTGTCGGACTTTTGTGCATGCACGTCGGACCTAAATCACGGCTGTGATTGGTTTGAACACCATGGCCGGTGCTTACTGGATCGGTCCATTGTCGTGGAAGGCTAAAACAAAATGTGGAAACAAATCCAAGTGGTAAGGAGATTTGCATTCCACTGTTTACAGCGTTATCCTTAAATCCTTTTCCCCCTTGTTTATGTGGTACTCCAAGAGTTGTCATTTTTGACGTCTTTTACTTTGCTGTGTAGGCTACATAAACAGCACTTCGTCACCAGTTCCAATAAAACTTAGGCCTGGACAATGCTTGAAAATCCTCCGTACTGCTCAAGGATGTCACTGGCCAAGCCTCAACATATTGATATCGACATATGTTGACAGGCACTGCCGCAGGATTTAGGCACTAGGCAGTGGTCACCCCTCCACGGACCATATTCAAGAAATAATGGAGGAATTTGCAGGATTGAGGCTATGCTATTTTTCCATGAGGCCAATTGGAGGATTTTGCAGGATTGAGGCTGCATCCTAGCAAAAATGCCTAGGGATCACTAATACGCATTGAGTTGAAAACGTTACCGTATATAACCGAATGTTGTTTTAATGGAAAAAAATGCATTCGCACCTCTTACAACGGTTTCATGTATGCCATTATGAGGCATTTCATTTTTCGTGTAACACCACTATATATACGGAGAAATATTGGAGTCAACCCGCCCTGCTGAAGATGTCCTTTGTGTCGCATAATCCTCTGAGCAGTGTCGTCCCAGTCTCTTTGAAATTACATGTATGACCAGATTTATTACCCCCGACCTACTTGGCTTTTGGATTGCGAATCTTCAAGAGATACTCTATCAGTTCGGAATGTCTGGTCTGTTGTGGTCTGTGACCTTAATGGCTCCTTATAAGAGATTAACTGTCGGTCATAATCCGTCTGGATAAATCAAGTGGCGTTCACGAAATGATGCACCGTTATACGCCGAATACTTATATCATGGTCCATCAAACTGAATAAGATGCTAGTATGGCCTTTGAAGACTAAACGCATGTCCCCTGCACAGACATTCCTTCTCCGTAAAATAGAAGGGAAAACAATTAACATCTATAGGGAAGTATCGCCGCTACAATTGGCAATTCAACAACAAAGGGATTCAACGGAGGTATGTTAAATGCCCGAGTGGAGTGTTCCTCAAAATAAAACAGACCCGCCCGAGAGGTTTGTTGCTTTCAGGAGCATCCACTGGAAGGTGGTACATTCTCCTTTTCGCATGCCTCTTTGGAGCTGTACCAAAAGAGGAAGACAATGGTATTTGCAGGTTAGCTATTGGATTTGTTTAAGCTCTGACAGGAGCTTCTATACATGTCACTGGTCGGTCGGTGAGTCTGTTTGTCCGTCCCCGATAATTGACCACAAATACTTGACTAAATGCCATGCCATCGTCATAAAATACCCTCTTGCTGACGGTTTTCGGAACACCGGTTTTGTTTGGAACGATGCGCATGCACGTTTATTTTGCATAGTTATGTCTGTCCCCGAAAAAATAACTACCAAATTGTAATTTTCAAAATAAGCAAACAAAATCAATTAAATACTTTAACAAAAATTGTTTGTGTTTATGAATAGTTTGTAAATGGAGGCAAAATATGTGCAGTAATGTTATAGTCACGTGGTATTTCTCACAAATCGCTATAAGTATTTTTCAGCTCTGACATGGATCATTTTGATAGATTTCATGTTCTGATTGAGACTTCCATGCAAGACGGCCAGATCTTATTGTGCACTCGCACTTGTTCTTTTCTTTTTGAGATACGGTGCACACAATTGGAGGGCCCAAATTCTAGCGCCCCCTTTTGTGTCTACCATACGACAAAAAGGCTAATGGCGAGGAAGAATAGGCAACGGTTGGGTTGAAAGAGGCTGCAATATTAATCCTAACTCCCTAGGGGGTGTGCAAAATCATATGAAAATTTGAGGATTCGGGACTGTTAGGGCTATTGGCAAGCTTGGATGTATAGGTTCTTCCTACAAGTATTGGCTTGACAACCTATAAACCACGCGTAGGCTAAATCTTTGTTTGAAGCGCTGCTTTGCTTTCTTGAAGTCTACCTTTTCCGTTCTCATGAAATGTTATTATCCACAAACCTCATTTCAATAATCATTACACCTTTCAAAGCTTCCTACTGGATGTATTATTGTCGCTTTAGGCTAAATACTTCAACTTCTCTGCAACTTGTGCAAGGCTGACAGAGCGGGGCAGGCGTCATTCGATGAAAACTTCTATTCATTTGCACACCACTTTTCATCGGTTGTGTTGTGTTGCCATCCAGCACTCCAGACACAAGAAATATTGAGTTTCAAGAACATAGGTCTGTGAGCTAGGGTTTCCTACCTCCATGAATATTTTCAGTTGGTTAAATCCGTGCTTTACGTGATGTATTTCTTGTAGGTCCACTTTCCCCACCGCGTAGTGGCTATCTCAAGTGCAGCTCCATCCCGAAACTTAAACCCCATGCGCCTAAAAATGTATTTTCTTGTGTTAACCTTCAAGGCATTGTGAAGTAACGGAACAGGGCTCAGGTTTAAAACCCCATAAAGATGCTTTTTGCATAAGTGTATCGCTCAAAAGCATGTGACACGACCCACCTGTAGTAACCTACTTGGAAAGTATGGGTTGAGTTGATCAGTAATTAAGTTTGCCTATTATCGATCGGTTGATAAATTCAATTAGGCTCAACAATCAGATGTACCAAATTAATTAATCCAATCCAATGATCTTATTGACTTGCTCACTGGATTGCAGGGGAGGTGTCAGAATGTGTTTATAACTTTTCCGATCTGTCACAATCTATTCCTCCTCCCTCCCACTAACTTTTCTTTCCGAGAACACTCCGTGAAGGATGTCACTGCGCGTGTCATGCCGAGCTTTTAAGCTCCTTCAGGGAGGCTTAAAATGACCATTATCAGTAACCCGCTATATACACACAGGAGACGGATAATAAAGAGCTTATTTGGTAAAAGTCCGTGAATATAACTGGCTCATTATGTAAGAGCCATTATAATTGACGCCTCCGCATATCCCTCTCGGATCATCGACCATAATAAGTCTGTCGACGAGTACCACGAATCAAACGATGGTTGTCCGAGGAACGTGTTGGTGTGTGGGTTCAACTATTGAAACTGCTCTACGATGATGTTTCTATGTGGGATGCAGAGCTAGTGTAGGGATGTCTTAATCATTACTGGTAGTGGTGGGCTGTTGGTGATTTGGAGTGGAGAGTAAGTTGGTGAGTAATAAAACTTCAATGTAATCTCGCTTGAAACGTTCAGTTTTTAACATTAATAAAGTTCAAACCGATCAAACGACGGTTATTGTCAAAGAAGCTTCGGGAAATGAAATTGAAGTTCGATTATAAGGGTTATAATAAATTATTCTCCATTAAGAATGGCGAGCACCCAGGTGCCATTGACATTGCACAGAGAACAAGTTTTTGATTAATGATGACTCTACTTCACCTGCAGTTGGAATATCGTACATTTAAAATCGCATTACACGTTTTCTGTTTATATTACATTCCGGGGGAAAAAAAACCTGATCCTCGGCGACTTCGCACTTGCGCTAAACTTCAAATATTTACATTCACGGTCTCACTCTCATCCACTAGGCAATTCAGATTCAATTGTTTTCAGTTATTGCTTTTCCAGAAAGCGATGCAGTTTGATGAAAACAAGTGATCTTTTTGCACTGTAAATCAATGTTCAGCAAAGGTCAAGTGCGTGTGTTCCAGTGTTGTTTACCGGTAAGCGAGAGGAGACAAAAACCAAGTATTCTTCAATTTAGCTGCATGCAGGCAAAGAAAGGGTCTGCTTCTTATATTATATAGCTTTATTTGGCTGACAATGTTCAGACAGCCAGCCTTTCAATGAAATGATGAAGTTGAACATTGTGACCATTGCAAACCTTCAAAATTAAGGGTTGACACTTAGTTACAAGGCAGTGCAACTCATAAATGAAAATGACGACAAGGAGTGTCAAAATAAGAGTACCATCCATGTCATCTTTTGCACAAGGCACTGCATTGGTTTAGGTATGGCTCTGTCCTTAAACATTGGTTATTTTTTTGCAGAAGTCGCCGGATGGTCTTTTTCGTGTAAACATAATTGTTATTTCACTGATGTGGACACATTCAAGTTGCCGTCAGTGGCCTCACGCACAGCGGTGTTGTTGCCATTAGCTGAAGAGCCATAGCTTACAAAGTATGTAAATAAATATTAGTCTGCAAGAAATGACAGACAATAGTCATATAATTTATCTGATATAATGGATTTATATTTGTAAAAAAAATATGACACAAATATTGTACTTAGGGCACACACTTTGATTTCAGAGCTCGGCCGCTTACCAATGATACCTTTCCCTGCAAAACGGGGGGGGGGGGGGGGTGTCATTGGTTTAAAACAAAACTTAGTCGCAAATACAAGAAAAAGTACCCCTTGGTCACGTACCGCGTAGCCTGCCCCTGCCCTACAATATAGCAGGCAACACCTTTGGCTGTGACCCCGCTCCGCCCCGTTAAAAACACCGCCGTTTCATTTGAAAATAATAGGCATTAAAGCAATTTTGAAGCAGTTTACTTTTCAGATGCTTCATGGTCGTGGAACAGATATTGCACGCCTTGCGCCTGCAACTTTACAAATCCCTCCGAGGAGTTTGTTACAGTAAAAAAAAAACCAGAAGCAGACTCGGCAGAAGAAATTGCGCCAAACGGACTTCTCATATCTAAAGCTGACTCGACTAGTCGACTACCACATGCACACATATGCGGTGTGAATCCGGTACAAGCGAAAATGCGACAAAAACTTCCACTCCTGGGTGACTTTCAATGGTCAAGCCCCAGTTAGCGCAAACAGAAAAACAACTATATAAAGCGCATGTAAAATGGACCGGAACCAATCCTTTGACGTCGTCTTTATCCAATTTGTTTTCCTCAACCATGTGGTGTGTCAGTGTAAAACCCGAACTGAAGCCCATACATTTAACTTTGTCTTTCGAATCGCCTACTTTACACGGTTGGAAAGTTTGTAATGAGTGGATTCTTTTTTCGTTTAGTTACTTAGCCTAATTGCAAAAAAAGGAAACCTTTTATGCCATGTTAACTCTAACAAAGCGTCGAAGTACTAACCAGGACGGGGGTACACTGCTTTTCCGCAGGGTAAACATGAAGTCGTAGGAGTGCAGCATTTACCTTAACACTCTTCTGAGTCTTCTCACTCTCTATTTCTTTCAGGGTTTGACGGAAGGTTTCCTAAATAGTCAAACGAAACGGACTGCATAATCCTCCTCGTTGGGTGGCGCTATTTGTATGGAGCCATCGTTGACAGTTTTGACACAACGTACATGTACGTGACGTGAGTGGGTAGAACTCGAAAGGAATATAAAGTAGCACGCTTGACAACGCGCACGCTGACATTGGGCAACTAAACTCCCATGCCGATTCAAAGGAGCCATTCGTCAGCATCAGTCACATCCAGGGACGAGGGTTCCCCCGAGTCTGTTCATACCCGTCAAGTTGATTAGAACTTCACCTCAGCATCAACAACAGTTTAGCACCTCATATCCCTGGTGATCATTCGTACCTTTTATGTAGCGGGAAGGAGATTTTGACACCCCGGGAGAACGGTTCATGACTTGTCGAGTTGTGTCTGCTACCTATTTGAAAGCACCGCGATTTGTCTCCGATTCGTATACCACTCCAGTTAGCAGGTTGTGCGCGGCTAGCCTTGTTTAGGAGTTGCTCGACTTTCCTGCCAGCTTTTCACATTCTTATAAGCCTACTCTTCAATCAGAAGTTATAAATAACTGCTCTTGCGAATGGAGGGGAAAATGATTACTGAAACTTGATACTGTCGCACCGTCAGGGGATGTCTGGACAACAATTGTGAATTCGTCGACATCATTGCAGTTGCTTTTGAGGGTAATCCTTTTTTGGGGCCGCCACATGTGGCTAGGTAGATCACAGTAGATTGAACTTTATAATATTGTTCAAGTCACGGTGGGACTGCGACATTATAACGCCTTGGGTATAATAAAGGTGCGTGAACCTGCTTGCAGACGCCGTATTGTTGCAGAATGTGATAGCGGGAGAGATTCAAAGAATGTCCTCCTTTGAAACATTATTGATTTTTTTCTACCATGAGATTCAGCGATGTGTGTTGATGAGGTCTGAACACAATGTACGGTGATGAGCCTCATCAATGTTTAATTTGAGAGCAATAACAGCGCCAACGCACACGCCTGTGTTGACTTAAACTGCACGTACCAAAGGGGCAACCAAAGATAGGTCTCATTATTGAACGCAAGATTCTGACTGAGGCTTAAGTCTGCCTCTGTTGACGTTCAACTGATCAAGTTAAATGTTGGATGACCTAAAACCACAGGAAATACAGCTTTTCACTTATGTGTGATTGTGACTGGTTTTTTTTCATCGAGTGGGAAATTCAGAGTCGTCGTTGGATGAACTAGATGTTCTCTCCTGAGAGTGAGGAATGATGTGCGGTAATTTCGAAGATGCAAAGAAGTCCATGAGATACGGGTAAGTAAGATATTTCTATATGACACGGATTGCTTTCGATGTAATGCACATTTCAGGAATGGAATTACGCCACGTGCGTTTTACCATGCGCCGAATGTAATATTATACCTTGCTAACTTAAACGCTAGATCAGCGTCAGAGATGAACCTTAGGTTCGACCTTCCACTTCGTCCATTGTTGCTTATGGACCTACTGTTGTACTTTCCGTGAGTTTTTATGACAAATGCAGTCACAATGTTTATAAAGAGAGGCGGTCATCAAAATATTTGGGAAAATTCCAGCCTCGGCTTAATCTTGTAAATCAATCATATAAGTTGACCTATGGCATGTCCAGCTGGACTTATAGGAGTCAGTTTTCTGTGCAGAGTTTCTGGTCTTCGCTAGCAATATTATAACTGTAACAAATGGGGCGTCTAGAAGTACTTGACCTTCGTGTGCAGCTTGGTTTACGCATACGTTTCCCATATTATATTTTGGAGACATTTTATCGCGTAAGAACTCTCCGCAAAAGTGTTCAAGCTCATAATTATACGTGTCTGTTGGTTACCAATGGAATTAACCCAAAATTTCAGATCATGTAAACAAGGCATGACAAATGTTATGGAGAGAGTGTTATCATCAGCTTTGTGTGCAAGAGGGTGAGATTTAAACGCCATACGAAAACAACACTTTCAGAATGTCGATACAGTGCCGGAGACAGTGGCGGATGGCGTGTGCTGAGGCTGAAAGCTTCTGAATGAATGCAGGATCACCCCTGATGTCAATGCACATCTCCTCGATGGGTGATCCTGCATTCCTTCAGAAGCTTTCGGCTGCAGCACGCGCCTTCCGCTACCGTCTCCATATCTGTATCGACTTTGGAGGAAGCCAAGTCGAAAGTGGCAGATTCTGAAAGTAGTTTCTTTTTGTATGGCGTTTAAATCTGACCCTCTTGCACAGGGTGATGAAATTCGCTGCATAGAATTTGTCATGCCTTGTTTACACGATCTGAAATTTTGGTTTAATTCCAATGGTAAACAACACAGTTATTTAGGATCAAGAGTAGAACATATTAATTTTTTTTTTACACGTAGTAGGCCTACATGTACATGACAGGGTTTATCTCAGGACCCGTCATGCATGACGCATCTGTGCTGGGATTTCACCGATAACGTCGACCGGAACGTCCCCGCCCCCATTCATCTCGCGGTCAACCCTTGGCTATGAAAACACGGCCAATCGCAGTATCTTAAGGTTAGACATCAGTAAAATAAAGTGTCATTTACAGTTCACAACCATGCGAAACATATTCACATTCTGTCCAAGTCGTTCAAAACAAACATCAACTTATAATTGAAGTTACTAATCAATTTTTAGGGTTATAATCGAATGAATTTGGGGTGATATTTACCTCGAAAGATAATCACCTCCTACAACGATTTCAGACCGCCATTTTGAAACAAACATTCCACTCCATGCAAAAAACGATACCTTCATGTCCCATTTCATCAAAATCCTGTCTAGAGACATTCTTACCCTCAAGTGTATGGACCCACATAAGCATCTTTTGATCTTGATTCTTGGGTCTTTTTAATATTTAATAGTCTGCAACGGTGCAACCCTACGAATTTCGTCAAATTCAGAGGTTCCAGAGGTCACAGTAATCGCAACCGGCTGCTGCCAACTTGATATCGTAAATGTCGTTTACATTCTCTTGGACGTGACCGCCGATGTGTACATTCCTATAGCTTGTTTATTTGATTGGTGAGTAAACTTATACGATGGGGCGCGCGTGTCTTTGTAGAACTCACGTCATTGACTTTGCGTATGTCAAGTTTCTTGCATATTGCATGGGCTAGTATTCACCCATTATGCCAAATTCATATTTCGATCGTTTCGATTTCGTTTCCATTTTTCACCGGAAAGTAAGCCAGTTTCAACGATAAGAAGTAAATGTGATTCCCAGTGGCGTAAATCCATGTCAGCAGGTTGGGGGTATGAGGGATGACCAAACTTCAAAAGTTGCCGGCCATGGAAATTCAAAACGCGTTGGGGCCGTAGGGGACTATAGGGGCACTGTTCATGATACAGATTACAGAATACTTAAGCGCCTTAATTAACGGCGCCGTTAAAGTTGTGTACTCCCCCCTTTCTTTCAATGCTATTTAATACATCGTGGTTGTTGGAAAGTTCGAATAATACTTCAAAATCCGAATTTTGGGGGATACAAAAAATGGGGGTGATACATATACCTCCCATCCCCATCCCCCGCCCCCCCCCCCCCCCCATTTATAACCCGTTGGTTACTTGAGAAGGAGGTCATTATCTGATGGGGCACCAAAATCTTCCCCTACCGTTACCCAATATAGGGTTGCCGTAAATGCCTGGCCTTATACTCGCTGTGGTCTATCAGTCTAACCAAACTAGGTCATACCTGTCACGGTCCATCCACGAGTCAATGCTTTCACGAATAGTGCAATTAATGATCAACTTAATGGGTCGTTAAACCTCAGCCGACATCAACGGATCAACCTTGACCTCGAACTTGGGAATGCACAGGGCAGAAACCATCGGGGAATGCCGGGAATACAATTAATGCACGTGGTTCCCCAGGTAACTTTGAGTGTGTGTAGGCCTATACCCTTTATTTCCGAACCTGGCCTTGAACTTGGCTGGGCTGACTTGGCAAGAGGTGCTGGGTCTTGGAATTTCAAAATCCGACGAAACATGATGGTCTTCCTCTCTTTTACCTGACAGAGAGGCGCAGTGTTTACTTATCATAAAACAGGTGAGGAAGCACACTGATAATATGATAACTGAAAGAGATGTTTGAGGGGGTACCGTTACAAGAGTAGACATGTTAAAGGAGGATAGGTTGATGAAGGCTAGATGACTTATTGCGTGTGGTGGTCGGGGATTTATTCCTACGACCAAAAGAAGACGAATCAGTGTGGAAGGAAATATGGAGATCAGTGGATATGCTGATAGCCGTACCTCAGATAGGCATTCAGCTTTTATTAGAAAAAACATACATTGAGCAGTGAAACAAAGTATCACAATACAGTCAATAGTGCTTCCTTCCTGGTCGACGTGGACTCCGTACTTATTCGGACTACTCCTAACACTACTGTAAGAAATTGGGAGTTGTACATTGCACGTCTGCGACTGAATAACACCTTTAACCAGAAGAATCGGTTTATAATGTTGATTACGGAGTCGTTCCTGAATGGAATCCACATGCTGGATGGCAAACCGGAGGTAGTTCACAAATGGAAGTGTCGAAGGCCAGATGGTGCAGCGAAAAAAAAAGGTGTCTTGATTTAACTCAATGCCAAGGTCGCACTTTTGTGCCGCGGAAGGTCGCACAAAGTTTCCATCCAGAGACTGTACGTGATGGTGAGACCATCAAAAATACATCAATTTGAAGTTGCCATCAAGGGGATTGTACCGTACGCCCTATTTTTTTTTTCACAATGGGAATGCGGCAGTGATAACAGGTGGTATTCGTGTCGGAGTAAACACAGGTGAGATGCTTATTTTGTCAGGAGCCTTTTTGCTACACCCTTATGTCAAAAGTTGTTTTCTTGACCAGACTCAAGCATGCGAAAGCCAAATAGCTCTTAAACAGCGGAAGGTCTTTTCAATTACCACCTTTCTTAGTTGTTATTCGACTTCTGAAGTATATGGTAGATAATGGAGGAATCCCTTCCTTTTCCTCCCGTCTTATTAGAGTAAATTGTACAATTTTTCGAGACACCTTGTGTAGGCCTGGGTGCTTATTCACAAAGCACCCGTAAATGTTTGCGTTGCGGGGACCCGTAAGTGGATGTTAAGGGCACGTAAGACTTGCGTTAAGTGGTATTCACGAAGCACCCTTAGAGTTCCCTTAGTGGACCCGCATGTTGCGGGCACCCGCAACTAATTGGTTGAACATAAAACAAAACACATTCCAAGACATTTTATCCCATTTCAGAATTCTTGCTCGTTGAAAAAATTACAAGCAGAGTCGATTAAAGATTAACTTGTCTTTGTTTTCTTAGCAAACAATCAACACCAATCAAGCATGTCTTTAAGAGCTTGTTCTTCCACTCATTTAAAGAAAAAAATGAATCACTAAAATTTACCAATGCTTTCAGAAGTTATGCATGTGTTACAAACGTAGCCCATTTTTATAGCTGTCCTTGAATATCATTGGAAGCTATTGAGTTTAGTGAGAATCATATTACAGACAAACTTTAAAATACCAACAAGACTTTAAAGCATGCACATTATTATGTGTCGCAACAATACATACAAGAAAATAAAGAAAAGTTTGATATATATTTGTACACAAAGCTGTAGAGGCACTTTTGTTCTGCTGTGAATGACATCACGCTTTGGCTCATGAATATGGAAATTGTCAATGGCATAACAATTGAAATGTTGAAATTTCTCCCTTTTACTACTACAAAAGAAGGTTGAAAGTCATAGTAACATGGCAATAAAGCTGTTTCAAATCTATTTAAGTAATACAAATCATTTTGCAGGTTCCCTGTAATAATTGAGAAGACAGAAACCACTGTCAGAATGTGTGCTTTCAGTATATAAGAAACAATTAGCTCTATTTTTGTTTTTAAAAATTGATGGGATTTTGTATCCTTTCCCATGCTCTTCATTCAGTTGAGGTGGGAAAGTCCACGTTTCATTTTACTCAATGGGTGTTCAGTTTGCATCACGTGATGAGTGGTAAACAAGTTTGTGATCGTTTTATTGAAATAGACATAACTTAGGATTAGACTGTGCAATTTAAGTGAAATGTTCACACTTAAAATCCCATAAGATGTACTTCGTCCCATAAAAAAAAACAAAAGGCGGCAGTCGCTTCCCAAAAGTGGAGGACATACCTATTACGGCATGTGGAGCGGGCACCGACAATTTCTGGATTCTAGATGCTTGCTTAGTGGTGCGATCTGGGGCAATTTCTGAGCACCCAAACCACTTTTGTGAGCAAAAGATAATCTTTTAAACATCATTTTCGAGTT